AACAAATCTAAGAACCAATAATATCTAATATATAATTATCCAATAAAATATAAATATAAAATTAACCAATAAAATATCATCCAATTAAATTTATGATATGAATTAACCAATAAAATAAGAACTAAATATTCATATCATAACAATACTATTTTATGAACCAAAATGAAAAAATTATATGACTAATTAAAAAAATATAATATAATATTATTTTATTAATTAATAATTGAGATAAAAAATACTTTTTAAATTTTTTTTAATAATTTTTTAGAGATAAAAGAAACTGAATATTCATTAAAGCTATTTTTTCTAAAATATTAAACCAAAAATTATAATTATTATATTTTTTTAAATATAATAAATTATTTTGCTAATATTATTTTAATCATGATAAATTATTTTTGCTGATATCAAATTATATATAAAATATAATATAAATCTAATTAATCAATAAAATTACAAAAGTTATTTATTATATAATATTTATATAATAGCTACAGTAAAGCTATAACTATATATAATTTCTTTTATTTTTTGTTATTTCATTATTTTTAATTATTATTATATATATTTTTTGAATTTGTAAAATTATTATAAAAATTTTTTATAGTTAATTTTATATTTTAATTATAAAAAATTAAAATAATATTATCAAATTAAATTTAAAAAATTCAGAAAAAAATATATATATAATATAAATTATAATTTTTATTTTAATATAAAAATAAAAATTATATATATTTAATTATAATAAAGAAAATTAAGTAATAAGTAGATAATTTAATATTTGTAATAATATAATCTTAACTTAGCTAATAATTTATTCAATACTAAATAAACAATTCATTTCATATTATTAATGTTATTTATAAAGAAAATTTTAACATTAATTAAGATAAATATATGTGAAAGAATTACATATAGTAAGTGATTCTCTTTCCTATCAAATTGGATAACATCAAGAAACATAGTACATTCCAGTTTAACATGTTACATGGAAAAGAACTACATATAGTAAGTGATTTTATTTTCCATTGGGCTGAAAAGCATTCAATTTTTCAAAGCATGAATCTGACTTTTTGAAAAGTTAAATAACCAATTTAGGATCTTATCCTGGATCCCGGTGCAATAAATTGGTAATTCCAGGATGTCAGTTTAGTTTATCAATTCTGGATGTAACAACTATTGGATTTTCCTGGAATCAACTTTAGTTTATCCAGTGCTTCATGATATCCAGGTTTGACTGTATTTTTGTCTGATAGATTCCGAACAATCGTGGTTGTGAGTTGAAAGTGACGGTTGTTGCCGATCTTATTTCGTAAATCTAACGTTTTGATATATCGTTATAACTTTTATTTCGCTATCACGATTCCTGTTGTTAAAAGATGAATGTTGATTCCGAAGTGTCTGTTTCATGAGTATAATATTGAAGGTGTGTTTTATGCCTGGGTCCAATAAAGTTTGAAAAATAAGCGTTGATTTCGGTATATTCTTATTCGTAGCTACTAAATAAAAGGTGGGTATTTTGTTCCTGGGCCCGAAAAAACTTGGAGAAAGTGACATTTAAGTTGATCAATTACTCAATCAATGTATTTATTTAGTGATGAGTTACTTATCGTTATCAGTATTACAGGTAATTATTGTGAATTACTAATATTAATTATTGTTTATATTTTATCGGTCATTTCTGTTATCCGCACTCTAGCGATTGCGCATACCTTATTAAGTGTGCATTCCTTAGAATTTGCATTTGTATAGTGATTGCACACCTTAGCAAAGTAGGGATGGGCGGATCCATAGGTGGGCGGTTCAAACCCGGTTCGTCTGGATCCCGGTTCCAAACTCTCGAAACATTAGCTGGGACTCCTAGATAATGTTTCGTGTGAAATTTACACACAATCAGTGCTTGACACAGAAATCACATCGCTAAAAATATTTTATATACAGTGATTTCAATGACGGAATCTATATCGATTTGAATATTTCGATTATCAAAATGATTCAAACTAAATCACGTTTTAACTTGTCCACCTGTATTATACAATCCGAATTGGATCCAATCCATGAAGTAAAGAATGATTTGCTGATTAAACGTCCAGATCCGCGGTGTTTTATGAACGTGTTTATTCAAATTTCAAAAATTATAGTTATTTCAAAAATCTCATGTCAATGAGTCGAGAAAGCCCATCAAAACCACTTATGGCACCCGTTTACAACGATATTACAAAAGAGAACCTCCACTCACAGCACCACGCGATTAAAAACATTCTAAGTCGGGCAAGTTTCCTTGCATTTGACACGGAGTTCACTGGTTTAGGAAATAAGCAAGATGGTCTTCATGCTTCGTGAGTAGTTAGTTGTTCTTTTCAATGTTTTTTGTGTAAAAACTCTTTACCAGCGGTCTTTTTTTAATCATACATAGAAATCTTGATGAACGATATGAAAATATGCGTAATTCAGTTAAAAATCACGCGTTATTATCATTAGGAATAACTGCTTTTGAAGAAATTTCCAAGGAAGATACATCAAGTTTGGAACAACGTTACAATGTTCACAACTTTAATTTCACTTTATTTTGTCGAGTGAGTCATTGTCAAGTGTTGATTCAGTACACAGACTTAATAATACGTTAATTATGCTAATAATAATGGGGGTTTTTACAGCATGAATACAAAGTGACACCAAAAAGCCTTGAATTTTTATTAGCGAATGGGTTTGATTTCAATAAACAGATTCGTCATGGTATATCATTCTACCCAGGAAATGATTCGGTAATTCATTTTAAACAATTTATCCAAGAGACTTTCGATCAAATCATGATATTCACAAGATTTTAATTTTTTCTTAGTCACGCGCTAAACCGGAAGATCATAGCTCAATAATGCGTTCTATATTTGCTCATATTCATACGTTGAATATCCCAATTGTCGTACATTATGGTTTGATGGATTTACTTTATCTCTATTATTCCTTTTACGCCGATCTTCCAGAAAGAATGAGTAGTTTTATCGCCGATTTGAGTGAAATGTTCCCGGCTGGAATATATGATACCAAATATGTTGCCGACTACGTGACACGAGAACGTGCCACATTCCTCGCTTATCTGTTCCGAAAGTAAGTCCGTCTTTATGATTTTGAATTTATATAGCATGCGCTTTAAAATTTTCGGAAATTTTCCCAAGATATGAGAGAGAGCAGGAAGAGTGGAAATCTCAAGGGATTAAAAGACACGTGATAATTAGAGTACAAGATCGTTTGCCTCCAGCCGCACTATCAGATTGTATGAATTCAAGAGAATCATTAAATGAAAATGGGAAGAGAAGTAATGGCTCTAAATCTTATTGTGAACAATATGCGGTAAGCTTGGTATTAAGTATTTGTTCATTTAAGATATTAAAGTCTTTTCCAAACTTTTTAGTATCATGGGGTTTGTCACGAAAAGATGAACTGTGGAAAGTCACATGATTTGAATTTAATATTAGATGACCACGAACATAAAAAGCGTCAAAAACGACGCAAAATAGACAAATCATCACGAAACGAAGATACTCGGAGAGATGTAAAATCAAAAGTCTCAAAGTCAGATCTGAACTCTCATATAAAAACTAAAGAAGAAAATACAACGGAGATTTTCAAAAGCTCACGGTCTTCTTCACCACCATCCTCATCATCCTCATCATCACCACCGTCATCGTCGTCGACATTGTCATCATCATTATCACCACCACCATCACCACTTGATAATATTGAAGACAATGATAGTACTTCCGGGACATATCACACTGCTTTTTTTGATGCTTACATGACAGGATATATCTTTGCTCGACATTTGGTTCACTTGAAAGAAGACATAAACACGCAGAAAAACAAACTTTACATCTCGGGAAAGAATATACCATTATTGGTGGAAAAAAGCAAGTACGGCAAGACAAGTTCTGCGCATGAAGAGAAAAAACGAGAAAAAGTTCGAGATGAAGTTGGTGCCCTACACGGTAATGCAAGTGACGATTCGACAATCAAAGACTGATAATAATGTTGATCTATATATCTGAATTTAAATTTGTCGAGTTAATTAATTTCAAATAAATCATATTTGATCAATCCTTCATTCAAGTTAAAATTATAAGCTTTATGTATAATCTGTGTCATTGTATGAAATTCAGGATTTATTGAAGATTTCGACAAGATCTTTATTTTGCAATAACGATAAATCTATAAATTGGAACAACTTTAAATACATCTATTTTTAATTTATGCATTAAATTGTGAATTTGCGTATAATCCACGAGTTGAGCGTCTTTGACGAACACTTTCACGCAAAATGTTTAATACTTCAACAGTAGTTTCCCAACCAATACAAGGATCAGTAATGGATTGACCGTAAGTGAGAGATGAAGGGCCCTCCGGTGGAAGATCTTGTCGACCTAAGTGTAATAAAATAAGAGGATTAAATAAATATATTGTATTTTTATAAAATAAAATTCTCACCCTCTTTAAGGTGACTCTCAATCATTACGCCAATAATATTTAAGCCAGTTGCTGGAGATTTAAGTTGTTCAGCCTTCATTGTAAAGTATCGTTAATATTCAAGGGTAGTATTTAACTAGGCATATTATTTATAGTTCTTAGCTACTCACAATGTCTTTTGCCACGTCAATCTGACGACTGAAAGCTTTTTGACTATTCCCGTGGCTGCAATCAATCATCAGGCGAGGAGACAATCTTGATTCTTCCAATTTTTCTACAGCATTTTTAACATTTTCAACTGAATAATTTGGTCCATTGGCACCACCTCGTAAGATTACATGGCAACTATCATTCCCCTAAAAGCAAAGGTTTAATTCCAATGATTAATAACTAATTGATGTTAATAAATCGGAAAAAAGATTTATACTTGCGTCGGTTGCCACAATGGCACTTAGTCCTTGTTTTGTAACCGATAGAAAATGATGGCCTACAGTGGCTGCTTTTATAGCATCGACCGCAATAGAAATATTTCCATCCGTACCTTTAAAGAAAATTTATTGACAATCAAAATATATATATCTATAATTTTCGTTCTACGGGGCACTAAAATAACTACCATTTTTAAAGCCAACAGGCACCGACAATCCAGAGGCAAGCTCGCGATGAACTTGTGACTCTGTGGTTCTCGCTCCAATTGCGCCTGAAAACGCGGACGACCAAAAACAATATATTAATAGACTACAGGGTAAATTGGATTATTATACGCGTAGTTAGAAGTTCGTTATTATTTATCATTAATCACCCCATGCAACCAAATCGGCAAGATATTGTGGTGTTATCGTATCCAAAAATTCGCAGCCACACGGGATACCTAATTGATTCTATAAAACAGACAAGTTAATAGAGTAATGGCACTAAATATGCTTAATATTCAATAAAAAAATAAATGGTTACCAAATCAAGTAAAAGTTTACGCGCAATACGTAGTCCTTTATTTATTTGGAAACTAAAGATTTAATATATATTAGTATAAAGATGTTGTTGAAGGGAGCCAAAAAAAATCTAGCTCACCTATTATTCAAATGTGGATCATTAATTAATCCTTTCCAACCAACTGTTGTCCTCGGTTTCTCAAAGTAAACTCGCATAATTATACAAAGATCAGGTTTGGCTTCATCAGCGTAAGCCTTCAATTTTGCCCCTAGAGATGGTTATATTTAATCATGAATCACACGAATGCTTCATAAAGCGTTAAATAAATTATGCTTTCCTAACCATATTCAAGAGCGGCACGAACGTCATGAACGGAACAAGGACCAACAATTATCAAAAGTCTATCTTCTTGACCTTTGATGATTGCTTCAGCTCCAGTGCGTCCACTAATCACACTTTGAGCTGCAGCCATGGTTAATGGAAGATCTTCCATCAAAATTTGAGGGGGAATAAGAGGTTTGATTTGTTTAATGCGTTTATCGTCCAACTCATTCAACGCTAACATGCAGAATTTAAATTAATACAACTGATATAAAAGAAAATTTAACCTAGTTATAAAGTTTGTTTAAACTATACCATCGCGCACATGTAGTTTTTCCGTCATGTTTATTTGTGGAAGAAAGTTAAATCACAGGAAGGTGCTCGCGACCTTAAAAATTTGTACACTGATCGATCAGATCAATTGATATTGATTAAAGTCCCGTGATCTCATTTGTTTCCCAACGACACGTAAAATACGCGATCTCGCGATTCCTGGCCTTATACACTATATTGTCCTTCCCGTTGAAACATTAAACAATATGAGTAGGAATTCACTTCGAATTAACACCGGTTTGAAAAAACAAGAAGTTAAAGAGGCAAACATTCAAGTTGCCGTCCGTTGTAGGTGAGCAATGCGAATTTTCTTTACATTAATCTGAGTAAGAGCTACGACATTTTATGTTTTTCGTAGAGGCATCAATAGACGTGACAGCGCAAAACGGAGGAAGGAAAGCGAGTTCTCTGTGGACCCTTCAAGGTCACAAATTAAATCCCTTAAAGAGCACGGGAAGACATATACTTTTGACCGGGTTTTTGGCGAAAAGTCAACACAGGCTGATATTTTTAAAGAAATAGTAGCCCCTATGCTTGTGGAAGTATGTGATTATAGAGTTTTATTGCATTTCTTTGCTCTTGAAGAGGTTAATGCACATTATTAAGTTTCATTTTGTCTATTTCTTAGGTTCTATCGGGGTATGATAAGAAATTAATTTACGTTTAAAGAATAATTCAAAAAGAATTAAATTTGACTTTTACCTATTTAGATATAATTGTAGCATCTTAGCATACGGAATGACAGGAACAGGCAAAACGTAGGCAATTCGCATGTTACTTGAAGAAATATCCAAAGTCGACACTGCTTAACAATTCTGATATGCTCTTTAGTTATACAATGGAAGGTGGAGACCCTTCGACTATACCAATTATAGTGAACAATTGCCCTAGTCAAGACGCCGGTATAATTCCGCGCACTTTAATCGAACTCTTTAACTACCTCTCAAAGTTCTCCGAATATAGCGTGAAACTTTCTTTTATCGAACTCTATAATGAGCAGCCAAGAGATTTGCTCTCGACTGAAAACAGCTCTGAACAAATTAAAATTTATGACGATGCTCGCAAAGGAGGTGTTGTGATACAAAATCTGGAGGAAGTTCTATTAAAAGATGCGATGCACGGCATCAATATTCTCAAACAAGGTTCTGAAAGGCGACGAAAAGCTGTGACTAATTATAATGCACGATCAAGGTAATTTTTCGAAATATACAATCTGATTTGGTACGCCATTGTTACTTTTAATGATTAATTCATTAAAAATTATTTGGTTTACATTCGTAGTCGTTCACATTGTGTCTTTACGATTACGATACATATTAAAGAAACCACCACGGAAGGTGAAGAACTTTTAAAAGTGGGCAAGTTTAATTTAGTAGACTTAGCGGGATCTGAAAATATTGGGCGTTCTGGTGCGGAAGATGCACACGCAAAAGAAGCAGGTTCTATCAATAAAAGTCTACTAACTCTGGGACGAGTTATTGACAAACTTGTTAGCGACTCAGCACACGTCCCTTACAGGTATCAAATATTACGCGAATTCATTAATGTACATAAAATAGTTGCTGACAGCTTTGAATTATTTTTGCCCATATTTAGGGATAGCAACTTGACGCGGATCTTGCAAGATTCTTTGGGTGGCCGAACAAAGACATGTATCATCGCAACTATATCTCCGAGTAGAAATTCTTATGACGAAACTCTAAGTACCTTGGAATATGCACATCGTGCAAAACAAATTAAAAATAAACCGGAGATTAATCAAAAACTTACAAAGACGGTATTATTAAAAGAATATGTGGATCAAATAGAACGTCTTAAAGCTGATTTGCAGGTATTATTGCAACCACCAATCCTCTTTATTTTCATATTGTTTTATACGAAGATTGATTTATAGTATACACTTTAGGCTACGAGAGATAGAAACGGTATATTTCTCTCACCTGAATCTTGGCGAGCAACTCAAGACGAGATTCAAGATTTAAAAGCGTCGGCTAAAGACCTTCAGGATAATATAAAACAGCATCAAAAAGAAAATCATGAGCTTCATGATAAAATAGGTCAGTTTTTACGCGTGGAAAATAAAGCGGATAGATATTTCATTATTGTTCTGTTTGAATTGATTAGGATGTATGGAACTCGTCGAAATCAGCAATCGTAAGGCGGTGGCAGAATTTCAAGGAACATTTTTGTCAATGGCTTCAGGACTCGAAGCTGCTATTAGCAAGTCAAAAACTATGAATCTTGAACTTAACGAGGCTATGCACAATCAAGTATATACATTCTCAGATCAGGCACAAAAGGTATTACTAGCTCAAAAAATTAAGTGTATTAAGTTTTATCATTATAAGGTAATTGACTCTATGTGAACAATTCAAGAATTTGATTGATAGCCAAAAATATATCGACATAGGATTCGACCAGCTTGATAAACGTCGTCAAGAGATCGAGCAATTTGCTGTAGATCAAAATAAGTCATATAAGGAACTTTATGATGAGCAAACACGACTATTCCTGGAGTATCGAGATGCGAATCTTGAAGCTCAAAACAATCTCAATTCTAATTTTCAAGGCATTTTACAAGGCTTACGGCAAGTGCTTGACAATCACTTTTCTAAGGTATAAATTTATAAAATGGGTTATATTGCATAATTTTTCGTCAATTTTACTATTTGTTATAAAAAACAGATAAATACTTGCCATGAGAAAGTCAATGAAGAAATGTCATCTCTAACGAAAGTTACCCAGAAACACATTGAATCTCAAAACACTACGATCGAGCTATTACAAAATGCTTTGATGGATACCGTAACTTCACAGGTATGACCCTAACTATTTTTTCTTTTGTAAGCTGAATTATAAAAGAATTCATTTAATAATAATGTAATGTTGTATGATTTATAATTTAGCAAAAACGCCGGGAACTATTTTATTCGGAAATCACCGATAAAATAAATCTATTTGAAAAAGAAGACTGTGAAGATATCCTTTTTTATGTTCGGTTCAATCAAAAGTCTATAATTTACTATTTATTCTTAACAAATAAACACTAATGGGAAAATTCGTTCAAGAGACATCTAAAACCATAGAAACGACAGCTAACTTAAATAGAGACCACCTGAGCACTTTTGGAAGATCTTATGAATTGACGAAAGGTCATTTAACATCACTTGAGCAGGTGAATGTTCGCATGTATCTGTATATCTATATACCTATAACAATTTACTAAATTACCTCAATTTCAGGAACCAAATGGAGAATTAAAAACAAAACTCGAGTCGATTCAAAACGAAATAAAGTCTCACAGCGATTTATCAATAACTACCGCGAATTCTGCTTCGGCTGCATTGACTTCAACAAATGATTCTGGTGAGCAATGCGGGGAATTACATTTTTGCTTTTGTAAGAGATCCGATTGATTCTTATTGCCCACGTTTTTTTACCAGCTGATAAAACTCTGGAAAGGCTTGGACAAGAACACTCCAAATCACTTGGAACATTCAGTAGTGATATCAAGAAAACATATTCTGACATGAGAGTTCCACTTGTTAATATTCAAAATGGATTACAGAATTCATTAATACCTTTCGAAAAAATGGTAAGAATTGTTTGATTAAATGTCTATAATATCCCAACTCTAATAATGTTTTTAGACACGCGAGAAAGCGGGTAAAACGCAAAGAGTCTATGATGATGCTATGTCATATATGCAACAAACTCGGAATGAAGTCCACTCACTTCTGACAGAGAAAGTAAAGGTAATTATTATTATTGTTGTTGTGCAATTAGAAAATGATTTTCTAATGTTTAACAAAATTTATAGTCTGACGTCTCCAAGAAAAGAACGAATTCTCGTGTCCCTGTACCTATTTCTGTTACCTTTAAACGACAGAAGATTGATAATGAAGATGCTATGTCAAACTTATAATCTTTTAATTATCCTGTAGTGCGTAGATATAAATTCAAATATTTTATTAAATATAACAACTCCTAACTTCCTTTACTGAATTTAATTTATCATTCTTCTGATTTTTTTTGAATTACAGTTTGAGCGATGCGATCAAGATCACGCTGCCCATCTTGTGTAATTTTACGACCTCTACGAGAAAATTCAAATAAAAAAAATCAATATTTTATGTGCATAATCAGTAAATTCCGATTTAGACCTACATACCCTTTAGGATCTTTTTCTAGTACATTTATTTTTTCTAGTGCCTGAAGAACTTTACGCGCTATAGCACCAGATGAATCTGCATGTTGTGAAGGGCGGGTACCTCTTCGCTTACGTCCACCGTGAAGTTTTTTTAATGCACCAACTCCTACACCATTACGTAGATAGATATGACGAGCGACGGCAGCTATATTTAATAATTACCATTTTTTTATAATTAATTTATTGATTTAAAGAAATCAAATGGATTCGGGAAAGAAAAGTATAAATTTACCTGCTCGAACATAGAACCAATCGGCGTCATACGGTGCTAGCTCCTTATATGCGCCAGTTTTGACTAGGTCTACCCATTTTGGCACTTCTAATTTACCAGACCGTTTAAGATATCCAGCATATGCTTTAACAAACTCATGAGGATTAACGTCTTTTACCGTGGAAGATCCTCCAACCATCTATACAGTTAAAAGAAACCAATTGACCGAACGAACGTAATATAAAAGATTTAATATAAATGTAATAACAATAAACTTGTCCGTCCCACTGTTTTTAACTTCGATTTAAAACATGAGCATACTTCGCCCCAAATGAAACTCCATACTTTTTAGGTTTTCAATATTACGAGGCCGAAAGAGAGAAAAAGAAAATTATAAAAAATTTTCAATCGACTTCCAGAATTTTGAATCATGAAATCCAATCAAACCAATCAAATTATAATCAAACATCTAGCGCGTAGACACCCCAAAACCCGCGTTTTTTAAAAATTGTTGGTATTCAGTTTGTGTTGCACTCATGGAATTACGTGTGTTGGGGAAATTTTCTCCATTTGGGGAAACATTTATACATCACAATAATATTGACGACAGTGGACAAGCTTCAAGGGCTGAAAGTAGGCTTCAAAGCAACCACCATATTCGGCCTTCGTTTGAACCTACCTACCAACTTTACCCGTCACAAAACAATGCTCAAACAAATAAACCCAAAAATCAGAGCTCTGATTTTGAGGAAGAGCTATATGTTAAAGACAAACTTGTAGTTTGGAGCCGTGGAAACTTACTCAAGAAAAGTTTTAAATTTGAAAGCCCTGTTATTCAGGCATTATTTGTCTGGTTCGAAAATTATACGCAAACACCTCAACAAAATTCTCTAGACACCAATTCTTATATTAACAACGTTCTAATACGCGAGCGCTGCCTGTGCATTATACTTCATAATTCAGCAAAAGTATATTTTGAAAATGGAGATTCTCATGCTTTTAGGATACCTTCTATTCAACGTGCTTGGGCTTTAGAGCTTGGAATATTATTTGAATGTTTTCTTGAAGATAATCCCTGCTTATCAGAATCAATGCAAGATGACTCTATACCCACACCACCTCCGACTCTGCTCAGCCTTCTTGATCCGTTGGCCGAAATTAAAGCTGTTTCGATAGTCGACAAGATACTTTATAATAATGAAGAATTGGTTTTTCTGGGTCCAATGAATCCTTTTACTAATGCTGATGAGGAATTGATTTTCGTCGGCGGAGCAACTACAAATGATCCCTTGATATTTACATATAATCGTCAAACAGGGCGACAATATTTGTATAGATATGGAATCAAAAGAGGAAGTAATATTATTGGCGAAATGGAAAATCCCGGTCGACGGAGTTCTGGCTTAAAATCTGATTTGGTAGATAGGTTTTTACATCCTGATTCTCAAAATTTCTTGTCATATGAAAGACGAGATTTCTCTGAGGCCTCCGTAGAGGTTTATTTAGAGTTACTCTGGTCAGAAAATTATCATCCGAGGTAAAGTATTTTCTTTAATTCTGTTTAACGATCAAGTTGCTTTTTATTAAGTTTTTTTTTTAAATTTTTTTAGTGGATCTATAAACGATCTCTCTGCATTTATTGCACACGAGTCTAATGGTGGAAAAGTCTTTGGAATATTTACGAGATCAACTGAGACCTTAACTTTACTAGACATTTTACAAGAACGTGATCAACATCGGATTTCATTCAAGTCTCAGTTCTCGGCTTTGGCTGCAATGTCGATTTCATCGACTCGACCAAATTTGTTAGATATATTAATGCTCAAGAAAGATGGAACTTTAGAACTTTGGATCGGATCTGATAAATTTTTGCCGATTACGGTTCCGAATGAAGATTTTTTTTGCATGAAAGAAGAATCCTTAGTAAATAGAGTGATTGATATAAAAGATTGTGTTCAACATCGAGTCAATATTGTATTATCCGACGATATGGTTTTAAGGACAAGTCTCAATTTTATATTGTCTTCTACCTTAGTCAGGAGTTGCATGGGCTCTTTAAGCTTCGCTATACCAGTTTCGGAATATCTTGAATTCAAACTAAGATTTCTTCAATATACTTTCGGGAATGCTAACAAATATATGGAAATCCCTCAAGCGAGCGAGTGGGAAAACTTCATCGTTACCCTATTATCCTTTTGCCATACAAATCCTAGCAATGATGTTAGCATGTCTGACGATGATCAAAACACGTCAATTCTTTACAATGACGATGATTGGAATGCGCTGTTGTCTATACCTCATCATCGCAAAATTGATTTAAACAACATATATCAGAGTTTAGAGCCTACCAATGCCCACGTGATGGATAATTCAATCATAAACAATTATGAAAAGTCGAAAAGGCTTGCAGTTCTGTTTTCTTTCGAGCGTAATTTTCAAGCATATCTTCCATCTATTCTGTATGCTTTGCATTTACTTTATGAGGATTTAAAATTGAATGTCATCCTACAAAAGTACATGCAGTATCACTTGCCATTGCTAATGCAATTGGCCAGTTTGCTTGGCTGGGAGTCTTATTTGGATTATTATACAAGGCACAATATAACAGGGAAATCATTGAAACTGACAAAAGGTAAAATATCACCGTATAATTAAATCTTAAATAAATAATATATTAATTTGAAAGTTTGTAGATACGATAAATACCGAGGAAATTGAGTATAATAAATCAATACTTTCACCTCCAAACATTTACCAATGGATTCTTTATCGGCTAAGAACAAAAGGCGTCATCACTCAATTTCCTTCAGTACATGATATTGGTCTATTATTCAATATACCATGTCCAGAAATTATCCGTGATTTCGATTGCTGTACACGAACATTGAAAGTCTGTGGCTTCTGTAACGAGTTATTTGCAGTAGGCCCTGCTTCGATGATCCTCAAAATGGTCCAGGAAGGTTTTAAGCTGAAAGATGTAGATGCCCTACCTTTCGGCATTGCTCTGCCTTTACGCGAAGCCATCCGAAAATGTCGGATGCGCCCGCCAAATGATTGGCCTGGTGATGCTTATATTCTGATAGGTTGGTATATCATTTACCGCTTTATTTACCCAATTCATTAAGTAGAATTAATTATTTTAATTTAAACAGGAAGAGAAGATCTAGCAGAGTTGATTTCTGGAAATCCAATAGCAACTACTTATTTCCATTCTCGGCGTGGATTAAAATTGGTATTTTTCACAAGTGTTCATAAAAAAATTAAAATCATAAAGGCTTATTTTATCTTTTACAGGATCGTAAACCTGATGATATTCACTCTATTTGTCAATCGGTCACACCTTTTGAAGCATCCACATCAAATAATCCAGGTGGGCCAACTGGGATCAGCAATAATACCAATAACAATAACAACAACAACAGCAGCAACAATAACAACAATAGCAGTAATAATCGCGCAAACATTGCTATTGAAACTGCTACAGAGATTAGCAATCATGAAATATCTGATTTGCGCTTTGACCGAGATCGCAGACTAGTAGAAGTTCAACGACTTTTGCATCCTTCTAATATAATAAAACTGTCTTCAGTGGGATCTGATCAAAATGGGAATGAAGGTGATATATCTGGTAGAAATTTAGAATGGATTTCTGCTCACTGTATGAAAAATTTCGCACAGCCTGTTGGTCGTGGTATTCTCACGTATGGGACAACAATACCAATTGCTACCGAAGTATTTCCTATTCCAGGAATATGCACAAGTGTTCGAATATTACCTTCTAATACTGTTAGGGTCCTAGATAGAGGGCTACGTTCTCAAGAAATTATTGATTGGCCTGAATTTCATGATGGTGTGGCTGCGGGTCTTCGTATAACTCGTGAAAGCACAGAAGTTGATGGATCATGGATTGCACTCAATAAGCCTAAAGAGCTCAGCAATGGTCATGCTGGATTCTTATTAGGTCTAGGTTTGAATGGGCATTTGAGATCTTTGGGTGCATGGAGAGCTGTAGATTATTTGATGAAAACGCCAAAACACGATATGACTTCGATTGCTTTGGTCATTGGTATTCCGGCGTCCTACTGTGAAACAATGGACACGCAAATAACGAAATTGGTTGGAGTTCATGTGCCTGCCCTTCTCCCTCCCAACTCTACATCTTTAAATGTTTCGTCTCTAATTCAGACAGCCGCGGTGCTTGGGATAGGTTTGCTTTTTTTGGGAACTTGCCATCGACGTATGGCTCAGGTCATGCTTGGAGAAATTGGAGGGAAAAGTTTAATGGCTGCGGAAAACACTGAAATTGATTATCGAGAAGGTTATTCTCTCGCGGCTGGCTTTGCTCTCGGTTTTATCACACTGGGTCGTGGACATAATGCCCCGGGTCTTGCAGATCTTGATATTTTTAAAGAATTACGCTTGCTGATAACTGGTGGCAAAGGCAAAAATTCCTCTGCTCCTTCACAAAGTTCCGGATTTGGCGGCTCTAGACCCGGAGACATCAATGTGAATACAACGTCATTAGGCGCAACGATAGCTCTCGGTCTAATGTTTTTGAAAACAAACAATGAAAGCGTAGCAGATAAAATTACTATTCCTAAAACTGCCTACTTTCTGGACTTTGTGCGGCCAGATTTTCTTGCAGTCAGAATTCTGAGCAAAAATTTAATAATGTGGGATAGCATAGAATGCAATGTGGCTTGGGTTGAAAATCATATTCCCGCATTTATTAAAGAAAAGCTTGAAAAGAACCCTGACGATGATAACATTGAGTCTATAAAGCAATCCTATTATTATATACTTGCAGGTGCATGTTTCAGTATTGGTTTGAAATATGCAGGCTCGGTAGATGAAGTAGCCTTACATTGCCTCCTACACTACCTGGACTTTTTCATGGCACGTGCAAGTGCGAGAGGTATGCCATAAAATATTCAAGATATTTAGAAGGAAATCATTATCTAATTAAAAATATTTTCTTAATGTTGTAAATAGCCACTTCTTTTGACCAAAGAATTACACATCAGACGGTAAAGACATGCGTAAATGTACTTACAACTTCAGCTGGTATTGTCATGGCAGGAACCGGGAATTTGGAGTTGCTGCGAAGATTGAGAAAATTGCATCGACCGGAAATCAATCACGTCATCTCGCGTAATTATGGAAGTCATATGGCAACTAGCATGGCTTTAGGATTTCTGTTTTTAGGTGGGGGCACTTTTACTCTCTCCACGTCCAACAAAGCAATAGCAGCACTTGTCTGCTCCTTATTTCCTCGATGGCCGACAGATCCTACTGATAATCGAACACATATGCAAGCATTTAGACATTTATGGGTCCTCGCGCTTGAACCTAGGTGTCTCGTCGTGCGCGATGTTGAGACAAGAGAAGCATGTCATATGCCGGTTAAAGTTATTATCAGAGGCACAGAAGAATCTAATGATGCTCAAATAGCACCTGGTTCCTCAAATAAGATAGAGCAAATGGTTGCTCCTTGTTTATTGCCGGAAGCAAAATTTGTGGAACGGATTGAAATTGATACTCCTAGGTATTGGCCGATAAGTCTTGACTTGAGAAACAATCGCACACTTGCCAATCGATTTTGGCAAAATCCAATTATATATGTTAAAAGGAAAATGGGTCATCTGAGTTACTTGGAGGTAATCTCTAAGTTGCTCTTTTGTTTATTTTAGTAAATATTAATCAAGTCTGTAATGCTTTAAATAGGACCCTCAAAGTATTTGGAGTTTGAACTCGCGCCTATTTCCACGCAAGACACCAAGTAATCAATCAACTGGAGGTCAACACAGCAGCAATAAATGGGAATTTGTCAAGGTTTTCTCATCAGATCCTCAAGTCTTAGCTTTCGCAAGGCATTTTTGTGAAAATGAAATGGATCGAGATTTGGCAACATTTTGTACTGGGGTCTTGCAGGAATGTTTGAACTCGGATAAACCTGAAGCAATTCAGATTTATTTGGCTCTCTATCAAAGCCAGCAGAATCTCAATATGAACGTGCTTTTACTATGGAACATCAAGATTCTTCTTGCTTATTATGAGCATGCTGTGATCTCTTGTCCTGACGCAACGCAAAACCACGCTCTCATCCAAAATGCTTTCGTCACTTCGATCAGGCAAAATATGAATAAGTTCTTTTCTCTATCACCACCATTGACTACAATATCATCAGAAAGTGAGCAATCGCAATTTGCTCGTGCTTTACAATATTATTTTACCAATCTGAAATTTCCCTCAGCAGAAGAATCGGAAGATATGAATGCTAACGGGCTATTGATTCAATTAGCCAATTTTCTTGTCTATAATGACGTACCAGATCCCAAAACAATACGTAATATCAGTAGTTGCATGCAAAGTTTGCGAGCCAATTTTGCACAGGATACCAATGTAATTGACGATAGTGGATTGGTGAATGATCATGTGCTCAACGTACTCTTGGCATTCTCGCCGCATTTAACGAAAAAAATTATTCAGACTATAGTAAAAATGCTGTCATAATAGGGAGAGATGCAACGTAAATCTATTCTTTGCATAATACATTAATAATAATTAAAATTAGTAGTTCTTTTTAAGTGTTTATAATTGTCATCATAAGGTAACTATCTGTTTCATTAAAAGTTGGTGTTGGGCGTCTTTGCTACCATTTTTGTGCAGTCGCATGTATCATGGACAACATTATCGTAATGACGCATAAGATTTTATTGGATACGAATTTGAAGCCCTTATATAGTCAAAAAGATGTGATTTACATAAGATTTCTAATCTTCATTTCCTATTACAAGTTTAACTTTTAAGAAGCGATCGTCACTTCGACTTCAACGCCGGGTTCTATCGAGATAGAAGTCTGAAGTCGGAAGAATAAAATTAAATAGAAAATCCAGCAATTGAAAAAATCATTACCACAATAAACAGCAACAATACTTACAATTTGCTTGACGATTTCGCTGGGAGAATGCAAATCGATCAATCGTTTATGAATTCTCATCTCATAACGATCCCAAGTCTTTGAACCTTCACCACAAGGCGACTTGCGGGTTGTAATACGCAAGACTTTTGTGGGAAGACGCACAGGACCTTTTACGCGCAAATTCTTGTCTTTCGCGCGATGGATTAAATCAGCGCATACTTTTTCGAGTTCTTTTACTTTGCGCGAAGTTAAAGTGATACGGATACGATGAACCTATTCACAAAAATTTAAAGACACAATTAATTATGTGTTCATTTGTATCTACATATATCAATCAATTTATCAGGAAAAACGAAAATGTCACCAATAATTTTTTTAATTAATGATATTTTTATTATCACCTTTGGAGCCTCTTCAATATAATCTTCTTTGCCTTTAGGGACGTAACTCATGCTGTAGTTGTTAATATTTTACTGTTCAGCGGAGACAGCGGTGACTAAAGGCCAAATTCAAGAATAAACGAAAAGACCGAAAAAAACGAGACTGCAGAAAAGCTCAAAAGAAGTGGCCATCAAAATTTGACCACCATTTTTTTAAAATAGCGAAAAAATTTTTTATCATAGATGATCGTTCAACATATACACACGCACAGAAACTATATTATTATGATAAATTATGCAAATTTTGCCCAGATATTGTTGATTGATGCAACCAACACACATTGATAAAACCCCCCTAATAACAAATGAAAAAACTTCCCCACTAAATTTTTTGTCTTTCTGACACTCAAAAAAAAACTAGCCAAAAAATAATACTCAAGATAAGCGCCTACCTTATTGTACCAAGGAAGATACCCTCCAATCTATTATAACCTTACAATTAATATATATATACCTTCTTAGTAAAAACAGCTACAAATACATTTTGAAACTATACTATTTATATCAGTCATATTTGCCACACTTAAATATTTTATTGTCTTCAAACATCTCTGTATATTCTTGAAAGATATCTCAAGTTCGTTAGGGCTATTCCCTCAAGCGCCCAGCTTCTATCAACAGATAATAATTCACTAAAAAAATACAAGCCTATTTGAACTCATCCACCCTTTTTCCCTTGTATTATAATTTCGTTTAAATATACTGTTCAAATGGCTAATAATATTATACAACAGCAGCATCAACATCTAAAGTAAGTTTTGCGAAGCTTTCCCGTTCAGAAAGCATCTTTTGCATTCTGAACGATTTGCATTTGGTTTTTAATTCCAGGTCATTAGCAATAAAAGATAGATTCTTATCATCAAAAAATTAACTCTATTATTTTGATTTTTGTCATTATACAGTCATGAAAATGATAATTGGAAAAAAAATCTACGGTTTCCACCAAAAGATAATCGGCCGCAAACTGAGGTAGGCCGAAATTACTATGTTCCGATCCTTCATACACGTTTATTGCAACCCACGTACTAAACTTATAAAATAACGTGATTTGTATTTCAGGATGTCACTAACACAAAGGGTAATGAATTCGAAGATTATTTCCTTAAACGTGAACTTCTGATGGGTATATTTGAGGCCGGATTTGAACGCCCATCACCTATTCAAGAAGAATCTATACCTATCGCATTGACTGGTCGAGACATCCTCGCCAGAGCCAAAAATGGCACAGGAAAAACGGCGGCATTTGTAATTCCTGCTCTAGAAAAAATTAATACAAAAAAACCAAAAATTCAGGCACTTTTGCTTGTCCCAACAAGAGAATTGGCCTTACAAACATCACAAGTATGTAAAATGCTCGGAAAACACATGGGAATTCAGGTGATGGTGACAACTGGAGGTACAACGTTAAAAGATGATATTTTGCGACTCAATGAAGTTGTACATATTGTGGTTGGTACGCCGGGGCGTATTCTGGATCTCGCCGGAAAGAATGTTGCTGATTTCAGCGAATGTCCAACTTTCGTTATGGATGAGGCTGACAAATTATTGAGTCCTGAATTCTCTCCAATTGTCGAACAACTTTTGAAGTATTTCCCTAAGGATCGACAAATAATGTTGTATAGTGCTACTTTCCCCTTAATTGTAAAAAGCTTCAAGGTATTGTTCTTGCGCTATATTTATATGTATATATTGTTAATTCGTGTAATATAAGTGCACTCCCATATTTATTAACATCAATCAACTATTTAGGATAAACATTTAGTAAAACCATATGAAATTAATTTAATGGACGAACTTACGCTCCGCGGCGTTACACAATATTATGCTTTCGTTGAAGAACGACAAAAAGTGCATTGTTTGAATACATTATTCTCAAAGGTTTGTGTTCTTATTTGGATATGTATGATAAAATCTTGCATTTTTTTTAAAGATATTTTATATATTGATCTATTGTATATTTCGTCTTTTTCATTATTACGTTAGCTCCAAATAAATCAATCCATTATTTTCTGCAATTCAACAAACCGTGTCGAACTTTTAGCCAAGAAAATCACTGAACTTGGATATTCATGCTTTTACAGTCATGCGAAGATGCTGCAGAGCCATCGTAATCGTGTTTTTCACGATTTTAGGAATGGCGTTTGTCGTAATTTGGTCTGTTCCGGTATGTAGACTATTATTGACTAGTAAATAAAAAACATATCATTTTACTAATTCTATAATTATTACTATCTAGATCTATTGACTCGTGGTATCGATATTCAAGCCGTGAATGTTGTAATCAATTTTGACTTCCCCAAAAATGCCGAGACCTATCTTCATCGTATTGGACGATCAGGAAGATTTGGACACCTTGGGCTCGCTATTAATCTCATTACATACGAAGATCGATTCAATCTTTATAAGATAGAACAAGAACTTGGTACTGAGATTCAACCCATCCCCCCTGTTATTGACAAACGTCTGTATGTCGCACCGAGCTCTCTTGACGAAGCTCAAAATCACCATCAACAACACCAACAGCAACAACATCAACAGCAACAGCATCAACAGCATCAACAGCATCAACAACATCAACAACAACAACATCAACATCAACAACATCAACAGCAACAACAGCAACAGCAACAACAAAATAATCAAAGTGGTCGTACGCAACCTTCACGTCATTCTACTTCTGGTGGTGTTAGGAATAACAATACGGGACGATCAGGCGGAGTTGGCGTCAAAGCTGCATCTTAATCAATAATTGTAAGCTTTCGCTTGATGGCTGCCTGATTATTTGTAACTAATATTTGATATATTGGAATAGAACATCAACAATATCATATATCTAGAAATGAAGAACTTTACCTCTTGCAAACTTTCAATGAATTGTCCCAGTTTTTATATAATAATTTGTCTTTCTCAACTAAAAAAATGAAATCTAGAGATTTCCTCCTTTTTTCCCCTATTACCTTCCCATTAATCATCACCATTCTCGTATAATTTCCATCACCATTTCATTTCTCTTTAATGCCTTGTGCAAATAAATATCGTTGGATCTTTATTTGTATGTAATGTAATTTTCATTTTTTCTTATATAATTTGCCCTATCTTTTCCCCTCCTGAAATCAATAGTATTTTCAGATCTATTACACATGTCAATGCTATTTTCCCCTGCCCTCTGGCTGTGATACCTACATATATTGAATCAAATTCACTCTTTATTATTTTATTGTTCGTTTTAATATTTATAATATTATTAGTAGTAGCAACAATGATAGATTAACTTGGCTCATAGATGTCATCATCATATGATCTACGAGAAATTCTGGTCGGCTATAAAAATGGGAACTTAATCTTTTAATGATATTTCTTGGATTTGTAAAGAACATTTACTATAAAATCAAATCCAAGAAATATTTATGATACATAAGAATTTCTGGTAGATTATTTAGCTTTTTATTGTCAAACTCAGATCTTTCCTCGATAGATTACCTTTCTATATATATCGAGTATAATCTTTACTTTCTCTCTCAAATGCTCTCTTTACATTCGACCAATTAATTATTTCTCCTCTTAATTAATTACCAATCCCTCCTTCCTCCACTATTACCTACCTATTAAGTTTTTGTTTCATTCATTACCACTCGGCGTTCCTTCTTTGCCATCCATGTTTTTCCCTCACGTGGTTGGAATCTACATGTTAATTTCACACTGTTTCAAAATTCATGTAACCGCTCCTTGGGTTAGAATTCATGTCTTAAAAGTAACACTGCCCTTATTTCAATTCACTTCTGATTAATAATAGTCCGATTATTAATTCATGAAAATAAAAAAAAAAGATGGTAATCTTTTTTATTTTGGTGTGATTCACTATTACGAGTCTTCGAAGTGCTATGACTTTTGGGTCAGATCATGCAATAAATCATATGACAAGATGGATCTACAAAAATTCTAGATAACGTGACCGCGATCTTGACCCATGATATTTTTTATGGCGTAGCAATATTTTTTACGCGTATTAAATGATGCAACTTCTACGAGATTTGTTATCAAATACACAAACCACTTTCTTTTTCTTACATTTGGTGATTTTCCCCTTGTTTATAAAAATTTGACTTACAAATGTCCGTACACTCACTCAAAGCACCCTTTAGAGCACCCTTTAAAACACCATTCAAGGCAAACGCTGTCGTACCCGCAAAAAACGGAGAAAAAACGTCTTCGTTTTCCACTCCTAGAACATGCAAAAAACAAACTTGCATTCCCGCCAAACGAAACAAAGGATATAAAAAATACAACGGTGAAGACGAAGACGACGAAAGTTCTGAAAATGAAAGTGAATATAATTCTGGTGAAGAATCCGAGGGAGATAGCGCCAGTGATAGCGATGGAAAACATCCTCGAAAAAAAACGAAATTAAATGTAAAAAGAACACCATTTGCTGAAGTCTCCTCAAGAAACCATAATAGCTCTGCAAGGAACAATAATTCTTCGCCTTCAGTATTGAGAAATCCAAAGATTGCGCTTAAATCTCAATTTAAACCCCCAACTTTTATTAACAAGCCAAGCAATAACCAATCAAACAATAACGCTAATAGTAACCTGGATGAAGATTTAAGCCGTCGTCTTACATTAGGGATGCGTCGAAAAGTCTTTGTAGGAACAAAAGCTTTACATGATCCAAATAATGAAAAATCCCTTGTACTTTATTATCCTTCTGATAACGAAGGCGAAAAAAAAGAGCCAATTGTGCCAATTAAGAAAAAAGAAAGAACATTGGCCGAAATATTGGGAGTCGTAATTCCTAAAAGTGATAAGAAAGTTCATGTGGTAGTTGGTGAGTCCAATACTTGAATATATGAGTCAACTCAAATTTAAATTTTGCCAATAATTATAATTACCTCTATTCATTTAGATCCTATTTTAACTTCAAAATTACGTCCTCACCAGGTTGAAGGCGTCAAGGTAAAAATAATTTGATGAAGATTGAATTTTCTTAGTTTTATGTAACTTATTGAAATTTTCATTCAAAATACGTTAAGTTTCTTTATAATTGCACTACAGGAAAAGTAGTCGAAGGCGCATATGGGTAAGCATTAAAGGATCTGTATTGCGTTTAGTAAAGATAAGAATCTATTAAACTTGCTTCATAAATTATTACGGAATAAAGCTGTATCATGGCTGATGAAATGGGATTAGGGAAAACGGTATGTGATTATACAGCAACAGCATACTCTGTAAATACAATAATAATTAAATATAAACTGATATTTTTAGCTTCAATGCATCGCACTCTTATGGACGCTGCTTCGTCAATCTTCTCTTCCGAATAAGGGAACAATTGAAAAAGCTATTATTGCTTGTCCATCAAGTCTAGTTCGTAATTGGGCAAACGAATTAAGTAAGTTTGATTATATTTATTGAAATTATCTCATTGAAAATTACGAAGACCAATTCTTTATTGTTACATTTTTTTAAATAGCAAAATGGCTTGGAAATAGAATCAAACCGTTGGCTATCGATCATAAAGGAACAAAAGAAAAGTTTTTGAAGGATTTGAGACAATTTGTTAATGCACAAGGTCGAATGATAATGAATCCAGGTATTTCTTACGGTCAACCAATAACAATTATATTTCTTTCTGTTTGAATACTAAAATTTCTTGAATGAATTATTTAGTGCTGATAATCTCGTACGAAACATTACGGACTAATATCTCTGAACTGAACAACTGCCAAATTGGATTATTGTTATGTGACGAAGGACATCGTCTAAAAAATTCAGGTGTTTATTTTTTTCTTTACATTTTATATTAAAATGATATAAATTTAATCTCGTAATTCGTTTTTTATAGAATCACTTGTTTTCCGTACCCTTAATTCTCTCAAAGTTCAACGCAGAGTGATCTTGTCTGGTACACCTATTCAGGTATAATAAGTCAATGATTTACACGTTCTATTTTTTATTTCTCGGAATTTATTTGATTATTTCTTTAAGAACGATCTCTCAGAGTACTTTTCCCTATTGAATTTCGCGAATCCTGGACTTTTGGGAACCGAGTCTGAATTTCGTAGAAACTACGAAAATCCTATTCTACGTGGTCGTGATGCAGATGCCAGTGACCGAGAACGCGAGACCAGCGATCAAAAACTTGCAGAACTCTGGTCATTTGTCAGTAAATTTATCATCAGACGGACAAACGATCTTCTCTCGAAATTCTGTGAGTTTTGTTACTAGTTTGTTTATTATCGCATCTTATTTAATACTTCAGAAATTAACTGGATTTGATGTAGTACCCGTAAAATATGAGCATGTAGTCTTTTGTCGTCTCAGTAAATTTCAGCTTTCGTTGTACAATTTGTTTTTGACATCACCCGCAATCCAGCGTCTACTGCGTGGTGTAGGATCACAGCCTCTTAAAGGTATAAATAAATTTAGTATTATGTTAAGAAACCAATTATCGATTAACTTATACGCTCGCATAACATTTGTAGCTATAACAATTCTGAAAAAATTATGTAATCATCCGGATTTGCTTGATTTACCTGATGACCTTTGTGGATCTGAAGATTGCTTCCCGCCAGACTATTCACTTAAGGAAAAATCGCGATATGTTAGACCAGAATTTTCCGGCAAGATGCAGGTTCTTGACAGGTAAATTAAACGCGTTTTTTTAACAATATCTACAAATTCTTATTAATCCTAATGTATTTAATTGACATAATAGGATGTTAGCCAAGATTAAACAAGAGACAGATGATAAGATTGTGTTGATCTCAAACTATACACAAACTCTTGACCTATTCGAAAAATTATGTCGCAATAAAAAGTAAAAAAAAAACACGTATTTTTCATTTCAATTAGTTTCGAAACATTTTTCTAACTCGATTGTTTTTTCTTAGGTATGGATTCCTTCGATTGGATGGATCAATGAATATCCAAAAGCGACAAAAGCTTGTTGATAGATTCAATAATCCGAGTGGTCCAGAATTTATCTTTTTATTAAGTAGCAAAGCGGGAGGTTGTGGTATAAACCTTATTGGCGCAAATAGACTAATTTTGTTTGATCCTGGTATGCATCAAATTTTCCATGGATCTTGATTGCTTATCGTTTTATATTTATGATTAATTCTTTTAATCTCAAGATTGGAATCCTGCCGCTGATCAACAGGTATTTACTTCATAGACATTTGAATTATTAACCTCTGAATTATTAAAAAGTCGTCTCTAATATACTCAAAATCTATGTCATACAGGCTTTGGCGAGAATATGGAGAGATGGGCAGAAAAAAGAATGTAAGAATACATAGTTTTCTTCTACTATAAGTAGTAATAAATAAATCTTATCTATTCAATATAGGTTTCATCTATCGATTCATCGCTACAGGCTCAATAGAGGAGAAAATTTTCCAACGACAATCTCATAAACAATCACTTTCTTCGTGTGTTGTGGACGAGGATGAACATGTAGAACGTCACTTTTCTTTGGAATCGTTGAAACAATTGTTTCAGTTTAATCCCAACACAATATGCGATACACATGATACATTTAAATGCAAAAAATGTGAACATGGAATTCAGACCGTTCCCAGTAAAGTCATGAATTATGGGGATTCCAGCTCGTAAGTTTCTTACCATACATATTCTGTCAGTTTAGGGTTTATTGATTTACAATTAATTTTGGAACATGTTTAGATGGGACCACTTCACTGGAAACGATGATTTAGCCAGGATAAATGATATTATGTTGAAAGAAGAAGCCAATCGGGGAATAGTTTCTTATGTCTTTCAATACAACTCGGAAAATGGAAAGAAGTAGGTATAATGATGGTTTTTCTGTCATGAATCTTGATTGATTTTTAAACAACCATTTTCTATTTCAGATCATAACTTCAACCTAATGTAACAAAATATAACACACACACACCCTACCTTATTTATTATTCTATTTCAATTATCACAAAAAAAACTGCTAAAATTACTGTCTATTTGAATGTACAATAAAAAAAATGGTCATGTACTAAAAATATATAATATTACACTAAAATCAAATCCATCAAATAGTGGTAGTGTTCAACTCATAAAACTGGTTCAGTAGACCAAAGATACCAACTTGAGGTTCCGTGGACTCTGAAGAGGGACCATCTGAAACTCCGTTAGATGTATTAGTGTCTCTTTCTAAAAAGTATGATTCGCCTAATTCACTTTTATAATTCTCTTGGCTCGAATGTAACGATGATGTTAGCGTATGGCTATTAGTGTCATTATTATGATTATTATTATTGTAAGTAGATGTTGACGCAGATGCAGCAGAATATGGTTTACGAAGAGATGAATTTTGAGACGGAGTAGTAAAGTGAGATACATCATTTTCTTTCAATATAGAATCAGCAACATTCGTTCGATGATGTGCGTAAGGTGATGAAGTCGCAGTCGTGGTTGCTCCAAAGTGCACATTACCTGTTCGACGATTTGTACGTAGAATCGAATCAATTCCGGATGCACGCATGTTATTTGATCGATCATGGTGAATCTGATTATTGAACTCTGTAAGACGACTAAGATATACAGATCCTGCTGGGTCCGTGGGTTCCCAATCCGGATTATTAGCCTATGATATTAAATTATTAATATTGAATAATAAACTTCATAAATGCTACGATTAAATATAATATAGAAATAACAATCATCTTTTATTTATACCTTGAAGTTCAAGAAACTTTTTTCCATTTTTCCTTCTTTTGATAGATAATACTCATTATCTACTTCTGCTGGTGCCCCATACTTTAAAATAATAAAATATTTCCGAATTAAAAAATGACAAGAATCAGACATATCTCATCTCAAAAAACAAATGAAAAGATTCATCTCTCTTACTTTGACATTTCCATGTTTCTTAAAGTCAAACACGGCAAAACTGCAAACATATCCGACGCCATCCACATGAATGGTACATTTAAAGAAAAAGTCAACGATGGCCTGTAAGGACTTGAAAAGTCAAGAAAAATAAATCTTTACAATTTTTAAAACAAATCTTGAAAAAAGAAGATCGATTTTTTTAAAGGATATCACTACAATCTGGCAATGAAAACCATAGAACAAAAGGCGTGAAAATGACACCAAGTAGTTCTTGAATGAATAAAACGATCTTCATTTCGAATAATTTTGAAAATTCTTCCCGGACCTAAAAATAATTATCAATGTTTCTCAAGACTGCCTAAAAGACGATCAAACAACTAGGAATTGAAAATATTCAAACCAGGTTCGAGTGTAATTTTTTTCTCCAATCATCTGGCAAATAATGCGTGTACTCGGCAACCTCCCTCATAATCTTTTCCGCATCAAATACTGAATGATCATCTGGAACCATACCACGACTGATTTCAAAGATAATTCCGAAAATTCCAGCGTAAAAGAGTATCGGACGTTCGGGTGAAATTTCGAGATCTATCAGAGTTGCTAAGAATAAAATCGCAGCAAAAGATCCAGCAACTAAGGATACGAATCTATTGTTTGTGCAATAATAATGAGCGCTAATCATACCATTAAAGCATATTTTGAATATGATAACTTTCTTTTTGCACATACCTCGCAATTAATACAGACTTCTCCTTGGGAAACTGATTAATGTATTTCATTGCAGGTTCATGGCTGTTATTCAATCTCAGTTTGAATAAATGCGGCAATTCATTAAATTCCCGAAATTTCCATTTAGCAAATGGCGACCATTGACGCGAGTTTATTGAACTGGGATTTCTATAATATTCCTAAAATTAGTATTATAAGTATCATAAGTATTATAAGTATCATAAGTATTATAGCTATCATAAGTAATAAGATATGAATAAAAAGATATGATATAAGCAAATACAAAGAAAATACCTCAAAATATCGGAAAAAGAAGTACATGAGGAGATACACGACAATGAAAGGAGCGAATATTAGATTAATATACGCCATGAAAATAAATCGACGTCGTAATCTGTAATATTAATAAAAATTAGATATGCAATAAGTGGTTAATATAAGATTTCTTACAAGATAAATTCATCTAAAAATCAATTCAACTAACTCATCACTTAGGTCCTTCTTAACAGCCTTTATATCAACATTTTTTTTATTAACATCCTTGACAAAGCGTGGCGAAAATTGACCTTCTTCGTTAAACACAAAATCCAATATGCAAAAGCTCAAATTCCATTCAATAATTTTAGTTAACATTTGCTGCTTTCCGAGAAACGGGATCGGAACCGACAAATTCAATATATCCTTATTTATCATGGCTATCAGATAATTTTCCTGACGCATTATTCGATTCGCAATAGTATGTGCATCAAGACGCTGTTGAGGTTGTGTGACATGGCGGATTTGATGACTTGTCGTAGGGTTATTATCCCGGATTTGTATTATCTGGTTGACAATCCTTTGCCATGTAACTGTTTGCATATCCTCCTTTGTGGCATTGAAAAGATATAAGAGAATCAGAACGCGGATATTTTCAATCCTAAATCAAGACTATTCATTGCAAGACTTACATCCGGAATCTTTAAAAGTTCAACGAAAAAATGATACGTATCAGTTAGACGCCGCACGTCAAATATTAGTCGGACGATTTGTTGTAACAGAAAGCAGGAAGACAGCATAAGAAATAATTTCATTAAACCCGATAATCTAACATATTTTGTATGAATTGAATCAGCAAATGAGAAATGATTATGGCATTAGACGAGCAGATTTCCTTTGACAACTTACCGGCTAATACATTGCGGTTCTATTATCTCGGAAATTTTAGTGTTGGGTCTTAAGTTCGAATAATTAACACAGCCAATTAAGAAGGTTGAGAATCCTATTACAAAAGCCAGTGTCCTAATAATAATCGTATTGAATTTTATTTCTTCAAACATAAAATATAGGATGTAAATTAAATAATAACTTACAGTATATTTAGAAATCGGCTAAGCAATATACAATATTTTCCTTTGCCCAAATAATATGAATATACCTGAGCTCAAGATAATAAATAGGTAAGTTAGACCACACAAACTCAAACCGTGTCATATTCGAAGAAAGCAAAATATGGATATATACCTGTTCAAAAAACAGATCAAAATTTTCGACATTAACCCACTTCCACAATGTAAGTTCATATATATCTGGTCCTACAAACGGTCTTTCATTTCGTCTACGTGAGCTAAAATTCCAAGGTGGCCGCCTAGAAGTACCATTATCCGCCGAATTATCACGAGGTGATTCAACCATTAATGAAGCTGGAGCCTCATCAACCTCTTGTTCTTCTATTTCTTCACCAGGCAACTGCTTGTATCTTTGTTGTTGTTGCGTACTTGCTGAAAGCGCTTGTATAAATGAGGGTCGTGATGCTGATTTTCGCGAAGAACTAGCATGACCTGTAGGATGTAACGGATAGCTATTAGACATGCCTTCCTCTAAATCTTCTTCCTCATCTTCAAATGCTACATAGGGAGCATCAGGTTGATTAGAATTTGACATTTTTTTTGTTCAGTGAATTTGGGAAATAATAGTGACAGAATATGTGGCGTAGGGGATCGCAAAATACGTGTAAATTTATACTACCACTACGTCATCGTCGCTGCGTTTAATCAGCTAAGTTTGGAAAGAATGAACAAAAAATTGCACCTGATAACTTTTCGAAAATGTCTGACGAAAAAGTCACTACTGACATTATCACATTGACTCGTCACGTACTCGACGAACAACGCAAACATAAAGAAGCTAGTGGTGAACTTACTCTTTTATTGAACGCTGTTCAATTGGGGTGCAAATTTGTGGCTACGAATGTCAGAAAAGCTCGTTTATTAAACTTGCAAGTATCATTCAAGTCAATTGGTTAACCCAAGCAAGAGCCAATCGTGATTAATCTTAAATTTTATTCTTCATATCTATGCATACTGTATTAAATTAAACGAAATAGAATTGGTCTCGCAGGAGCTTCCAATGTCCAGGGAGAAGAGCAAAAGAAACTCGACGTAATTTCCAATGAAATTTTTATTAATGCGCTTCGTTCCTCGGGACGTGTCGCAGTAATGGTATCCGAGGAAGATGAACAAGCGATTATTGTTGAAGAAGGTTTACGCGGGCGTTATTGTGTTGTATTCGATCCATTGGATGGCTCTTCAAACATTGATGCTGGTGTTAATGTTGGCACTATATTTGGTATTTACCGTATAGTGCGTATTGTTAATTTTGATTTGATTTTATCTTTTTTAGTCATTTATCAATAATTGCTTAATAAAAATTTTATTCTGATGTTTTAAAAGCGTCCCGATTCTACTGGATCAATTGAAGATGCATTAAGACCTGGTAAGGAAATGGTTGTAGCCGGATACTGTATGTATGGTAGTTCTGCTAATATGGTTCTTTCGCTCGGAAATGGCGTAAATGGCTATACACTTGACAATGTAAGTTATTCATGATTATTATATATCGGTCTTGTCTTGTAATTATGATGTCTAATTATTTTGATTGATTTTTAGGCTATCGGTGAATTCATCCTTACACATCCTAACGTAGATTTATTTACACTTCATTTTAATATTGTTGCTATTAGTTACCATGTCCAACATTCACAATTTTCCTATCATTTTTGACATTAGATAAAGATTCCATCACGTGGAAAAATATACTCGGTCAACGAAGGCAACAGCATGTATTGGGATGAAGTATGCACCGAATACTTCAATTCTATGAAATTCCCGCCCCCCGGTAAGAGCCCATATTCTGCTCGGTACATTGGATCCATGGTTGCCGACGTGCATCGTACACTTTTGTATGGCGGGATTTTTGCGTATCCAGCAGATAAGAAATCAAAGAACGGGAAGCTTCGTCTTCTTTACGAGTGTTTCCCGATGGCGTATCTTGTTGAACAAGCAGGCGGGAAGGCTGTAAATGGAACCGGAAGAATTCTTGATATAGTTCCTGACAATATTCATGCACGCGCACCAATCTTTTTAGGAAGTAAGGATGATGTAGAAGACTGGGAGAAAATTAATAAAAAATACTCTCAGAAATAGAATAGATACCTCTATATAACCGTAGAGTTCCCCATATAACGTGATTATATGGGTTAAATTATAGTAAAATCAACGATGGTTTTTTATCTGATTGTTATCATTATTCATTTTGTGATGCTTGAAGGAATCTGCATAAGTCATTGTTGATACCAAATTTCATATCGATATGACCGAAATACATTTACTGATCAACCAATCGAATTTAATATCTGCTATACAGTCAACCTAATTTTACCACTTCCACTATCCTGAAGCGATGTCAGAATATAAGATAGCTTCGAAAGGAAAACTAAGCTTTAAAGGCGAGAAAAGCTCAAAGTAAGTCTCTTATGTATCAATTAACTGCATCATATTCGACTAAAATATAAATTTATGCTTATAAGAAAAAAGAAAAAGCGGAAATCTGAAGAAGCCTTCGAGGAGGAAGGGCAACAAGAAGGTATAATTAAGACCATGAAGGTTTTCAGTATTCCATATGGAAACCTTGCATAAACTAACAAAATTTAAACCATATAGGTTGGATTTTTGCTCAAACAATGAGCGACCTTGTTGGTCCTCTATGCTTAATCTTCAATAGCGAACCACTTTGCTGTCTTCACATGTCTGAAAAAGATCGTTCAATAAACATTCAACCACTTCAGAATCAAAATCTCGCCACGGTTGAACCTGAAAATGTCAACTCCGTATTTGTTGGTGCTCAGATAATTGGCAATCCGGATCACATCTCACTGAAGACTTGTGACGGTAAATATCTATCATCTGATAAATTCGGGATAATAACTGCAGATAAGGAGGCAATTGGGCCGCAAGAAGAATGGACACCTATAATTCGAGAAGATGGTATCGCGTTACAAAACTCGTATGATTGTTTTTTGAGTGCTGATGAGATTGCGGATGGTGGATATAAGTTACGAGCAGACGCGGAAACTATTGGGTTCTGTGAGACTTGGCGGTTAAAGTGTCAAGCGAGATTTAGAAAAAAGCAAAAGACCACGAAAATAGAGGACAAACCGGCCCGTGATTTTGAGATTGAGCAAATGTAAGCATCGTTCTTGAAAAGTTTTTTTTTGTCTGGATAATTTTTTAATGTCTTATGATTGAATTTTTGATATCAGTAAAAAATATCAAACCTGGGGTGGTGGCCGAGTAAGAACCACCGAGGAAGGTACCTCAGAATTGAAAAAAGCAAAGAAGGAAGGAAACTTTAATGAAGTGTAAGCCAATTCCCTTTTTCTTTCAGTGACTCGTGTATATGTTTTTATAAACATGCTTTTTTCTTTATTATACAGATTACTTGACCGTCGTGAAAAAGTGAAGGCAGACCGATATTGCAAATGAAGGAATACATTATCAATTACTCATTTGCAGTCAGCTATATTCTGGATCAAATTGGTAAAAAATGTTTTTTTTTATTTTTGTGATAATTTTCGATGATGTTAAGACACCACATGTATCGTTATTTTATGTTTACCAAAGAAACTCGAGAGAGTTCATGAGGACTTGGTGTAATCTTCTCTCTGAGAATTTTTTTCCCTTGATTATCGTTGGATTTCTCGAATTTTTTCTTATCATTTTTTTTCGTAGATTCGCCCGCGCGCTCTCTCGGATGATATCGAGAGAAAGACGTTGGGTGTTACATTATTCAGAATAATTGGGTGAAGATCTACGATAAAGCTATTGATTGATTCTAACTTTCTGCATTTGTTTAATGAAATGTTCCAGTGTTCAAAGTAACATGCATAGAAATACATTAAATGAAGCATAGAATAGAAACTTGGAATTAAACAAATTTCATGTTATATTTAACAATTCTTGATAAATTAAATAAATCCGTCGTCAGCCATTAGTTAATTATACATGTTTGTGCATTTCTCGAAGTACTGAAAGAGATTTATCGGACGAATCAACAAGCAATTCAACGCTCTTTCCGGTGTTACTATTGCCGAATTCAGAATTTATGTTAAAGATTGCGTTTCCGGAATAAATGAGTCATTCATTATTCACAATAAAAAATGATATCCTAAACTAATAATCTATCTGTAAAATAATATAAATATAAAATAATTATAAATTTATAGAAATTCATCGGATAATAGTTATTGGAATTATATAATTTTAAAAACAGCAAATAACAAATAAAAACATTTTCTTACATTGTTTTTTATTTATCATGAATTTGTAGATCTTCTTGGAAGAAACTCGATGTCTCAGTTTCATCTATGTCTATGATTCCACTAAAACCGAGATCATTTGGAGTATACAGATTAACGTTTGTAGAATCTAAATATTCTAAATATTCAAAATAAATTTTTAGCTAGTATCAAGTGTCAATATAATTTATATTGAGAAATAACGGTACCTGTATCATTTGGAACTGAAATTAAGTTTGTAAAGGTTCGACTGGTGTAAACTGCATTCGGGTGGATTTTTTGTTCTTCGTCTACATTTGTAGCAATATTTTGCATCTCTTTATCGAGTTCAACTAATTTCTGCCTTTCCAGTTTAAGAGACTCTTTAATTTCATCATGTGTTTTAGGGCCGTAGTACTGAAAATGTAAAGTATTCACTTTATTGGTATTGTCTGCAGGACGGTAGATAGATCTGATAAAGTGGCGAAGTTCATCGGTAGTTGGTCTGTTGTCTGGAATAGGATCCCAACATTTTTCAAGAATAAATTTGCTCCATCCGGGAACATCATTCGGTATATAAGGTCGTACGCCGTTATAGATGTCTAATATAAGATCATTACCGTGATTCCGCTCGCCAAATGGTCGTTTACCAGTTACAACCTCGTACATAACCATCCCAAAACTATAAACATCAGCAGCTGGAGTGTATGGCTTTCTATTTATCACCTCTGGACTAATATAAGGAACTACTCCGCATATCTCTTGCTTAGATTTATCTAAATTAGCTGGACCTGTAAGTCCAAAGTCGACAATTTGAGCATCATCAGATATTAATATATTTCCGGGGTGAAAGTCACGATGCACGAGTTTCCAGTCGTGAATTTTCCACAGATCGAAGAGAATATTAGTTAAATATCTTAGTCTTGTTTCCCAATTCAATTTTTTAATATTTTTCCGAAGATCGCCATCTTCTGCATAAGTCATTACTATCGAGTATTCATCGGTATCTGGATTTTTAGTTACTCCATAATAATCTATTGTAGAAAAGCCTGCTTTGCACGTTAGAGCTTTCAGAATCTATCTTTGAAAACTTAAGTGTATTAGAAAACAAAAAAGCGTCTTGCTTACATTTTAAATTTTGTTCATTTTTACCTCGTTTATAAACTCAAATGTAATTTGCTTTGAATCATGTAATGTTTTCAACACAACAACTTTATGTTTTTCAAATCGTTTAAATTTATTTTCTTCGTGATTCCACTTGGGATAAAAGTGTAATGGTCCGTCCAACCAGGTTGCTTTATAAATGCTCCCAAAGCCACCTTTCGCAATATATTTAACATCGGTAAATCTTTCAAAGGGGATCCACTCGAAAAAGCCCCCATCAAGTTCTACAATGTTCGTGCATTCTTTTATTAGTTTGTAGATAGCTTCTTCCTCGTTAGGCAATTCAGCTTTATAAAGTTGATAATGATATTCAAAACATTCTTTACAGGGAGCATCTGTTTGACAATAAGTGCAATTGCTACAATCGTGAGTGTTCGAAATTTTAGATTCCATCTCGAGCTCGCTTTAATGACATTTCAGAAATTCCAAATCATACGCATTTAACATCAATATATACTTTTTTTGGTTCATTCAATAATTACGGTTAGTGATTTTTGTCAGCATTGATTTCACTATTTATCTTTTTTTTTGGTGACAATTATGGAAAAGGGTTAATTATATATACCCTAACTAGATTTCATTTCATTTCATTTATTCGCGGGTTTGATCGAGTCGATTAGATTATGAAAAGAAAATAAATAAAAATTTCAAAATTTCGAGTAAACCATTTCTTATTCGACCAGAATTTTGATAAATTATTTATTTTATTAGAAACGGTTAGTAGCCATATCTCCACGTAGACGATTATAATCTGGAAGGCCTTCAACTGATAATCACATAATGATCGTTTATTGATCAGTAAAAGAACATTAGTAATAATAATAATAATAATAATCATCATCATCATCATTAAGCAAAAAATATTACCTGGTCCTACGCCAACAACCGCCACATCTTGGTCCCATAGATATTTACCAGCCACACTTCTTACCTCGTCGACAGTAATTTTCGATATGATTTCTTCTATTGCCTTTGGCGCGTTTCTTTTACCGGTAGTGATCAATTGACGGCCAATGTCTTCGGCTACCGCGGTTGTTCCGTCTAAGCTTAATAAAAGCGAAGCTTTCAATTGCTGTTTGGCACGTTCGACTTCAGCTTCTGTTACGGAAGTATGCAATCTAGGACGTAAATTCGAATCACCCAAAAATTAATATAACATTTCTAGATAAGAGGAGACTAAAAGAAAAAATTCACCTCCAAAATTCTTTGCATGTAAAATGAACTAAATCATCTAATTGTTCTTTGTTTTCTGATATGAGATAAATTCCGAATAATCCGGTATCACTATAACTCGTGTTGAACGCTTGAAATGAATTTGCTAATTGATTTTTATGAACTATATATGAGAGACGTGATGATAAATGCGGAGCTGATCCTAAAGATCTATCCCATGTGCCAATAATCGATTGTGCAACTAACAATGGGTAATAGTCAGGTGATGTCCATCCAACACCTTCCACGGCAATTGCAATATGAGCTTGAGGTAATTCATCGTTTCTCACACGGACTTCAGAGCCAGTAAATGGTGGTTGTTCACCTCGTGGTGCTCCAAGAGCCGTTGGATCTGGTGAGATCGGAAGAGATGAAAAATGTTTTTCCGCTAATTTAACAAGCTCGTCATGATCTACACCTCCAGTTCCAACCAATACCATTCGATCTGATGTATAATTTTTCGCAATATAATCGAGTAGATCATTTCTTTTTAATGTAAGAATATTTTCTTTAGGTCCGAGTATAGTACGACCCAATGAGTGTCCTAATTCATATAACCGTTCATTCATGAGAAAAGTAATTTCTAAAAGTTTCATAGAAATCGCAAGAGAATAGTATAATGATCAAACCTTGAAAAGCTGTAGCATGCAAATGGTCAAACACAACCTCTTCAAGTAATTTATCAACTTCCTCCTGTTCTCTTAAAATAACCTCACGTTCACGCTCGATCGCTTGTGCGTCCAAAGTAGAATTCTGCAGAATATCAGATAATATTTCAACAGCGGTATTGGCATCATTTTTAAAAGTTCTAGCGTAATATACTGTTTGCTCTCGTGAAGTATATGCGTTTAGATGTGCCCCAATATTTTCAATAAATAATTCGAGTTGATGTTGAGACCTAGAATTGGTTCCCTGTGCAAAATTCATATTTAAGATTTGATTGACTATTTAGATCAAATTTTTTCCTAGCAACAAAAAAATACGTTACTTTGAAAGCCATATGTTCAAGGAAATGTGCGGCACCGTTATTCTGGAAATTTTCTGCTCGACTACCGGCATCAATCCAGATGCCAACAGTTGCAGTTTGAGCATATGGGTTCGTTTCGGTCGCTACAGTTAAGCCATTCGGCAATAAAGAACTACGTGTTATAGGTTGATTTAGGTTTACTTCCGAGGCAAAAGGTCGCACCAACTAAAACAGAAAATGAGAAGTAATTTAGCGATAGAAAATAGAATTACATTTACCAAAACTTTATCTTACCTGTTTTGTTAAACCACGACTATACGAGCCTCGTAATGCTTTAGACAACAAGCGAGAAGCCATCAAACAACGTTACTTTGTTTCTAAATAAAAATTTTACCTGGTTATACGAAGCGATCGAAATAATCATCTATCATTGCTTTTTTGGCACATGTCAATCAATCGTTATTCATTTTATATTTTTCCTCGTAAACATGTCGAGTCAAATTAATCAATGTACGGACACGCTCGTCTTTCAGAGAATTAATGGACTTTCTTGTTAATTAATTACATTTTTATAGACGATTCTAGCATTAGTGAACTCGAGTCTTTGTTAAGTCAGCTGAGTTTAACTAACGGTAATACATAAAGTTTTCATAATTATATCTCTATATCGGTTTATTTACGCTGTTTTGAAACTTTTGGAGGGATTTGGTCATGTTACGATCTGTCAATTTAAACTATTGGCTCTTCGTATTTCTTCAATGTAACAAATATATTCAGAACAACATAACTTAGCAACTACTCTTCCTTCACTTATTTATGGCCTTCAAAGTTGTAAGCAAGCAATATCTGACACAACCTCAAGTCACGAAATTCGTGTGCATTGTTGGGAATTGGTGACCAAAGCCGGTGAAATATGCGCAAATTCCGCCAAAAACGGTATTTCTATATTCTGTTAGCTTCTACATGCGTTATCTCAATAATGCGGATGATATTGAATGCTTCTAAAATTTTAGCCGTCTCACGTGATGCTATTGGATCTTCCGGGACTATCGAACTTGTGACCGGGTTCCTCAAACTTAATTACCGAAATGAGTCTCCTTCATCGAATGTACAATGTTTACGAGTTTTGGCTAATTTATGCATCAATCATGGTATAATATGTGTTTTATCCTCTTATGGCGGTTTACTTAACCTTGATAATTTAAAAATTAACTATTTTATTGCAGAGAAAAATCGACAAAAAACATTGAATTCCGGTGGAATTTCGGCAATATTGTCGATTTTAAAACATAACAATGATTTAGACGTTCTAAGAACCGGAGCTGGTGCATTATTAAATGCTGGATTAGAATATGGTAATTTTATCGCTTGTTCATTTTAAAAAAATATTGGTTTCGATGACCTTTTTTTCTAATATTTAAACATTCATTGCAGATCCAGTAAATATTGAAATTGCTCGAATAGATGGATTATCTACACTATCAAAAATATTAGAGCCGAATAATATACTGTTAAATAATATCGAAAATATTGATGCTGCACGTACAACGGTCCATTTTACCACTCGTGTATTTTCAAATATTGCGTCATCAGGTTTCATATAGACATCATTATTTTTTCATCTCTGATTTTCCGAAATTGAGGCTTTTAATCATATGTAATATTTGAGTAGATGAAGGGATAAAACGATTCGCTGATGGACGAGTGCTTTCTCCATTGATTCATTTGTTGTCACACGCGTCTTCGGCGAAAGCTACAGAAGATGATGTCGATATATTAGAGAACGTGGTCGAAATATTAGAGAATGTTGCTTTAGATAATGGTAAATAATATTTTTTGTTGCTTTTTGTCATCTTTTAATTATTAATAAATTTCTTTCTCCATTTTATTTAATAACAGAAAAGGTGCAAGAAATAATTGTTCGGGAAGGATTATTTACAAATCTATTAGACTATTTAGAACATGCTAAATCACCCAGCGAGAATAATGAAAAGCTTAAGAAACAATATGGCGAATGGAAGGCAGTTGTTCTGAAAGTAATTGTCTCTACTACAATGAGCGGTAAATAAATCATATGCTTTTCTCTTGGAAGAACTTATCGATGGATTATTTAATTTATAAACTTTTTTTTTTCCAAAATTTAGATAATAACATGACTCCATTATTTGAAAACGAGATCATTTTAAAAAGATTTTTTGGGTGGCTAAGTATCGGCCCCTCGCGTGATGATCTTCAAATATGTGCTGGTTTATCCCTGGGCAATTTGGCAAGAAATGGCAAGTAATACTAAATATTCGTAACCTTCTTTCTGTGAATAAGAAATAATCTGCTTATCTCGATTTCAATAAATAGATACAAATTGCGTCAAGTTGGTTCACGAATTCAAGGTAGTTGAGTCGTTAGTTAATGCACTCAAAACTTCCGAAAATAATATTAAACTTCAGCATGCAGTTGTTGGAATTATTAAAAATTTGGCTATACCTGGTAAATTAAAAGTTCTAATCTTATATTTTCATTAAATAGTTGTCAATTATTATTTCTCGATAATCATTATTTTTAAACAATCTATCCTAGTTCAAAATAAATCATTGATTGGTTCGCATGGGATAATCGAACTCGTATCACCACTATTAGATCCTGAAGTTATTCAACCTATTCAACTCGGTGTTATTGGAATTCTAAAACATCTTTCATCCGGGGATGGTAATCATTTTATTTATTTCCTAAATATTGAGTGTAATTTTACTTTTTTTTTTTTTTGAATGTTTATCGTATTATCATTTCGCGTGTCTGCTTTAGTTTTAAATTCGAAGCGAATTATCCTCGGCGAAAAAAGTTACACTTCAGAAACCGCGATGGAAACAAAACCTCCTACGCCTCTTGTCAGACTTTTAATTCTGACGCAGAAAACCGATGATATATCAATCCGAAGTGAAGGAACTCGTACACTCGTAAATCTGATTAAGACCGTATGGAGTCATGATTCCAGTTCGATACTAGGTTAAAAAAACTTTAATATTTTCATATGACAATTAAATTTTGTTTAGAGTGTATCTGCTGCTAAAACCCAACAAACTCATGTTCTAGATGTAACAACTCTACGATCGATATTGAATACAAGCGAAATTATTCGGCCAATATATGACATGATAATAGAGTCAAAATACCCCGTCCTACAGAACGAGGGTGTTATTGGGTTAACATTGCTTGTGTTGGATGATTCTGCAAAATCTAAAGGTAGTGCCAAATTAACTATTTCTTGTCTTTGTTGTGTGAAATATATTATCTTTCTAAACTCGACGAAACCATCAACAGAACGAAATCATACACTGTACTTTCTGACAAATAATAATACACAAGTATCGGAACCCAATGTTGTTGATCCCGATAATTCATCAAATGTAGCATCTTCCTCTTCAACTGCCACTTCAATATCGCCTCTATTAGATTCCCTCCTTGTCATTATGGTTAACAATAAAGATAAATACCCGGATGAAATACGTCATAATGTGTGTGTGTTATTAGAAAAAGCTATCGAAGCTTCTAATGATTCATGTAAGTTTTATATTATTTTATTTTCTAATTAAGACAATGATAATACATTTAACGCATGCTTATTTTTAGATAAAAAATATTTCCGTGATCACATAAAAAAGTTATTAGTACCGTTATTGGATCCGAACCGAGTGAGACCTATTTCGGATACTCTCAAAAGTGACTTTGAAAAACTAATGCAAAGTTTGACTTAGCGTACAAATCTACGCAATTTATTAAATCTGAACATATTTATGGTATACAGAATATCAGATAATGGTATGATGTCAGTATAAGGTTCACTATACTCTGAACCCATACCTAACCTTCTTCCGATGTATATCATACTGAATTGCCCATCCATACCGATATCACAGTCTTTATTTATCTACTATTAATATTTTATTTTATTTTAATATATCATTTTTAATTCGATCTGAAGTAAATTATTTTCGATAAGGGATATAAGAAAAAGCCATTTCTTAAATTAATAATTACACATCGATTGCCACTAAGAGAATAACCCGTCCAACAAGGCCGACATGTTGGGTCCGTCGCACACTTGTCATTTCGACATCGAATGGCCATTAATCAACGATTAATTTTCTGTTGTTACGGACGTTGAGGTTTAGGGTATCAAACCTTTACATTTCGCGCATTTAAGCAACAATCTCATTTGTCTAGGAGTCAATATATCGATATCGTCTCTTCGATTAAATCTCTAAAGATGGTTAATATGTTATTATTATACGTATACTATAAATAATAGAATACAGATAATATGGCAAAAGTTATATGCTTAACTTTTTGTTGAGTATATCGATATTTAATATAATTAATCTTGATTATTTATCCTTTTTGTATCAATCACTGTTAAGAACGCGTAATTTTTGACGTTAGAGCGCGAATAACAGTAGTTTAGCGCTTACTTTTCTATATAGCATTATTAAAATTTAACGAACATCTTGATTTAACGAAATTTTTTAAATATTTTGTTAAATCGAGGTTTGACTATAACATGTTCAAATATCCGGGCATTAACGTTAATGTTTAATAGGTAAAAACGTCTTTCAAGAGAGTTTTCTTTCAAATAATATATCAATTGTTAAATGATAAGGTTACCAAATATATTTTTGCGAAACGCTCTTGCTTCAATAAAATACTGTTTCCAAATATAAATTCATTTTCAATTAAATTTCTAAACTTTAAGAGGATTAAAGTTTTCACGACTTGCTTTTTATTTGTTCAAAATATTTGTCCTGCCTCAATAAATTGCTGTATAGTACTGGAATACTTTGATAAACCGGATTGAGGTGCAAAACGGTCTATACCGTAAAGCACTGCATAAAGTATCCCCTTTGTAGAAAATTTAAACCTTAATTTAACTTCAAGGTTATTCCATTAAGAAATTGCGCCATGAATCTTGTTTTGTTCACTTTGCAGAAAAATACCCTTTGGAGAAAGTTTAAACTTTAATTTAGCCTTAAGGCTATTTGGTAGAAATTGTACGGTGAATCTTGATTTATTTATTTTGCAAAAACGTAATTGGTTTTACTAAGGAAATCGGCGGCGCTGTACGATAATTGATTTTATTAAGAAAATTGAAATAAGATTTAAATTTTCTGCAAAGGGTATGTATGCAGGGTTGAGAAATTTATATGTTCTAAAAAAAAAATAGCACTAATTTACTAAATTCTGTTTTTTTATTGTTACCATGTTGATCATTTAATTACATATACACGCGTAAACTCGGATATATTAATTCTGCGAAAAAAAAATTGGAACAACTATTTACAAGTCGGTTTTTAATAATATCGAATTATCAAATTGCAATAAAGGCTTTTCAGCGAATATATGATCAGTCGGATGTCTTGGAAGAATATGTCGATGGAAAAAACTTTTTGCAGCAAACGCGCCCTTTTATAGATTGATTAATAGAATTAAAAATAAATGAACATATATATATCAAAACAAGATAGTTTGTTTACCTGATCGTGGTATATAGCGCCAACAAGTGCCAACATTGCTCGTCCAGTTACATGCTTTTGACCAATAGGTTTGACGTACGATCCGCTTGCTTCGGCTTTCTTTACTTCTTCGAGATTAACCTGAATTTTATTTATTTATTTATTTATATATTATATTATGGATCTTTAATAAATTAACCTGTATATAATTATACTTACAGGGACCCAACGGAGCAGCTTATTTAATCCTATTTGTTTCCCAATTGTCCCAACTATCGATGTATCTTTATACGACTCGATTCGTGTTTGCAATTGTTCGGCACTCACTTTGTCGATTAGAAACTCGGCTGCAAATGTTTGAATCACGCATTGTCCTAAATTTATTTATTTATTTATTTATTTATCTATTAGCAATGATAATTAATCCATACAAGCAGCAAAAAAGAAGATAATGCGAAACAATTATTACCGAGATATTCTAACCGTTCCATATGTCGTACGTTGCCATGTTCAAAAGATCTATGCGTGACCGCCTGAGTCAAAGTAGCAGGATTCGAAAAATTCAAACCAATATCTCTCGCAAATCTTTCATAATCTTCGGTGAGGTACTCTCTTGTCGGTTCCTCCCTATATCTATTGCTTCTTGCAAACTCTGGTAGTATATCATGATTATGTGCTTGCTGACTAGAAACTTTCAAAAATAAAAAACATGGTTTGATCGATTAATCCATCAAACAACTAATCGATTAATAAATAATCATGCGATTCAAGTTGCGAATTGATATGTGTTTCTCTAAGTGCGTATGTATCTTCCGTGGGTAATGCTAAAAGAGTCACTTTTTATTTAACAATTAACTACTCTATAGCGACCTTTGATGAAAGAGTTTTCACATTTGATATTGGCCACATGTTGACTCGTCAGAAAATTTATAAATTTTTCGTAAGAGCTTCGATAGGGCCGCATTTCTAATATGTAAAGATTCATTCAATACCTTTTATTAATACAGTGTCGGATACTACTTACCAAACCGTAAGGGTGGTAGTAATGATAGTAATTTATTATGATGATGATTTGTTGTTAATGTCGATGATGAAGATGCTATCTTTATTTTATTCGATATTATGCACGAAGCGCGGAACGGTAAATAAAATATTCTATAGTTGGCGAAAAAATTGATGACAGTAGCCGTGGCGGCGGAAGCGTTTCTATGCAACATTTATTTTATCTTTTTTTTCGTGATGAAAAATTTTAATTTTGGTCACGTTGATTGTGTTAACATCGAGTCATTATTAATTTTCGGATAGTCTTAAATTTAAATAAAAAATATTTTTTGGATTTTATTGGTCATTTTTGTCTGTGATGTGTGCGAGTGTGCAAGAGCATATAAATATATATTATATATCCAAAACGCCCCATTGTTTTCCTGCCAATGGGTTATAATCAAAAAAAAATTGGTTACGCGTATGTTATTATATACATTACAAAAAGGAGGGTTTGGATAAAAAGGAGTGTGATGAATCTAACTATTGGTTGGCATGCAAGAGAAATTAATATGCTATTATTAATAAAGTTTGAAAATGAGGATGTGCGAGAAATGAAAGAATTGAAAGAATGAATGACTTTATTATTCTACGTGAATAAAATAATTAAAATGGACCATGCGAAGGAAACTATCGAGGAAAATAGATAATAACAGTGATAATGATCTATTAGAAAAATAGAGTCCAACAGCAAATGAAAAAAATACTTATTCTTGTGCCAATAATATCAAAACTCCCACAAATTTCCCAACCCAATTTCTGAGATTACACAAATTTTGATGGTAAAGATTTCGAGAGAGACAATTGTCCAAAACCGATGATAAAAGCGAAGATGATAGTCAAATAAAAATTGGTTAGTAGTACTAGACGGAAATAATAAATAGGATCCGTATTATGGTCGATCAGTTAGTCATCTATTTTTTTGAAGTTGTATGTCCATGAATTCGACGATTATACGGATGACCATTGTTGCTGCTGTTGCTACTGTTACTGTTGGTCGAAAGTCCAAATTGAGGTGCGGGTTGTATTGGTACAGGTGGTTTTATTCGAAATTCGGCAAGTATTACCAAGTGACTAAGGAAGAAAGCATCATAAGTTTAGATTGTTAAATGCGTAATGGATATAATGGATAATAGATTAACATACTCTGACGGAAAATGTGCATTAGGAAATCCCACAATTTTTGTTAAGTATTCTTTTTCTACACCTCCCAACAATCCAGTAACCGTTAATGTGTTTGTGCTATACCAAATATAATCAATCACGCCAGTGAAAGAAGGAGTAAAATTTGTGAATGGCAACTCTTCTATGTTTGAGTATGCAGATTTCAATGAAAGTTTATGCGTCAATCCTTCGGACGTAAAACTTCCATACATGTGGTCACCAAAATCATTATGGTCCTGTCGTATAGTACCACGTGAGAGATATTCATAAACACCAGAATCAGGTGTTGAATTAAAATCGCCACATATGATCGTTGAAATCTTTTGCGGTGAAGTATAATTATAACTGGATTGATTTTGATTGGAAGTTGTGCACCATTTTTGTGCGAATTTGTCTAATTCATCCATTAACATGGCTACTTGCACAAGCTTAACATCCGCGAAAGTTGGGTCCCAATGAATATGACAATTAACGACAATAATACGCGATTGATTATCTTTATTCTCGAGCAATGTTACAACTGCGATGTTATCTTTTGTTATTACTCGGTTGAACATATCGTCTGTCTTTTTGAAATCCGATCTTTGTAATGCCACTTGATTGAATTCAATCAACTGTTTATCTAACAATTGGAATCTGGTATCAAAATAACCAGTAAACTACTTGATTAATAAATGTTAAAATGAATATCTAAAAAAACTACGATGATTTAATACCTAGACGCCTTGAAGAAAGTTGCACATCCATCAACCGATTTTCTTTCCGAATCGCTCATTGTCTTTGCACGAGACTTTTGCCAATAAACACTATCGTAATCCGATTTGTGAAGTTCTTTTTTAAAGTAATCTTCATATTGTGCACTATCAACTTCCTGCGAATTAATTAATTTAATCTTACTAGAAAAAACCATCATATTCGAAAAACTGATAACTCGTATGTTTTACCTGGAGACAGAGAATATCTGCATTGTATGACATTACTTCTTGCAATATGATTTCTTTACGGTGGTTCCATGCAAGTGCCCAAGAGGGAGTATAACCATATAATTGTGTCGTGGCATATTTTTCGCACAGAATATTGTAACAAAGAAGCGTAAAGGTATCTGCATATAATAATTTGACAGAAAAAAATCGCGCAAACGTACATTATAGTGAAAAAATAAAACAGTTTGAAATTGTCTATTCAATTAAAAGTGAATTCCTAGTACCCGCACATACCAGGCCCTGTATTTGCTTGCTCATTCTCCAATAAAATCCATTCTCGGTCTGCTGGTGGTGGAGGATCTATTCGACGAATGAGAGCGATCATTATTTGTTAATAGGTGAATAATGAAAATAGTCACAGTAAATACCTGGACAATTATCCCTCAAAAAAGTTATCACTGAAGATGTTCCTTCATTCTGTATAAATGATTTAATAGGTTCGTTTAACGGATTTCCTTCTAAGCCAAGCGTATCCAGTTGAAAAAGCGTCCCCAATTCATGCGGGAGTGTCGATAAAGCATTATCAAAAAGCAATAGTTCTTTAAGGCTGGTTAACATCCCAATTTCTGGTGGTACTGATGATAATTTATTCCCAGATATGTCCAAGATAGTCAGATTTCGCAGTTTTGAAATCTCGGGAGATAAACACGTTAAATTATTGTGGTTTATATAAAGGGTATTGAGAAAGTTGTAACGGTATAGTTCTTTGCTAATGTTCTTCAATCCCATCCCACCCAAATCGATCGTCATCCATTGTTGAAATTGATATTCTTTTTTATCACCATTAACCGTTTTTCTATGGGAAACCCCATTGACAGGGGGTTTATTTGGATTATTTGGATCTGTAATTGCAATTGCTGAACTTCCTATATTAGTATTACGAGCAGCGGCGGCGGCTTGTCGTGCGTGGTGGTGAGGAGTAGCCGACTGTCGAGAAAGTTGTGCATAATTTAACTGTTGCTGCCAATGAGGAGAGCCTATATTATTATTCATTTGGTTTGAGACACTATGTGAAAAGTTCAAGTGTGACTGCGTCAGCCCATGGTTTGCTGGCGAGTTCATACCTTGAGGTGGAGGCCCTGCAGTTTGGTTAAGAAGAGCGTATGCATGATTTAATTGTTGCTGCTGCTGCTGCTGTTGCTGTTGCTGTTGTTGTTGCTGCTGCTGTTGAATTTGCTTTGGAGGAAGCTTCTGTGGTAAAGGAAAGAATGGATTTCCGCTGTATAGCGGCGGTGGTCCTCCCATATGTGAACTAGAATACCCAAGCGGTGGAGAAGTTTGACCTGGAGAAGTATTTGGAGACGGAGTATGAGTAGGTGAGTGGATAGGGGAGGACACAGTGTTCGGCGAACCGTTATATATTAACTGATGGTGAAAGTCCATGATACTATATCTTCGTGCGTTCGGATCCTTTATCATTGTTTTTTTGTTATATTTTTTCTCAGTCAAGTTTTTTGGTGTGTGTATGTGTATGTGTCGACGTAGATTCTCATTCAACCTTGTGTTCCTCTCTGTTGCCTTTTTTTGGTTATCGTGTTCAAGGATGCAGTAGTACGAGGGGGGCGGATAATAAACTAGATCGGTAGTATTAGGGGCTGGCATGAAATTATAATAGGTAGGCAAATAAATTTATCAGGTCATGTGTCGTAAAGAGATATGTGAGAGATTATTTTTAGTATCGAAAATCACGTGTTTCTTCTTTTCGAGGTCATTATGTCGCGCGATATATTCGGTGTGTAATCATTGAATGAACATCCATTTTCATTTCGACACGTATTCAAAAAAAATTTCCCCCAAAGAAAAAAACAAAAGTATGTAAAGAAATATCTGAATACCAAATATATACATATATCGATATATAGATAAAAAGGTGGTGTCTGAAACAATCATAAACCCATTGGTCAAATTCCAAGGTTTCTTTGGCGAATAGATACAAAAGCGAATTTTTACTATACGTTTTTTCTTTATTTGCGCATATACTCCCATATTACCGATGATAATAAAAAACATGAAGAGCAAACGCTGGGTTATTTTCTTTTTCACTGTTCTATCTTTGTCTTTTGTCTTCACCTTTTCGTCGTCGTTTTTTGTCGTGAAGGCTGAAGAAAGTGTTTCTGCCTCCGAGTCTAACGGGGAACAGGTTAATTCCTCACCACCCAAAGAAAAAGTAACAGTAAAAGAGGTAGAAGAAGAAATTGTACAAAAAAAATTTAAAGATGGTGAAGAAACTATCGAGAAAATAAAAATCACAGAAAAAGAAGAGAAAATTGACGGAAAGGAGCAAGTCACCTTCAAAAAAGAAAAAGTAAAGGTAGTTAATGAAGATTCCGTTAATTATCAAGCGCTGACAGACGAAGAGACCGAAAAACTTAAAGCGACCGAAGAAAAATTTGAATTTCAAGTAAATCTCGATTCATCTTATCTTGTTCTACTGTTTATTTTATCTAATTCTAATTGATAATCGTGAATTAATTATGTAGACCGAGGTCAGTCGATTAATGAAACTTATCATCAACTCTCTTTATAAAACGCGTGAAATCTTTCTTAGAGAACTCATTTCCAATGGTAATCAATGAGTTAAAAAATTGTCTATCGCACTACAATCTTTTTAGTATAAATTTTCAACGAACTAATTCCTTTATTATTTTAGCATCTGATGCTATTGACAAAATCAGATTTTTGGCACTTACCGATCCAAATGCGCTCAAGGCCACCCCAAATCTCAATATTACTATTTTGGCCGATAAGGAAAATCGCCGATTGGTTATAACTGATAGTGGTGTTGGTATGACTAAAAAGCAACTTAAGGAAAATCTTGGTACAATTGCGAAGTCGGGCACCTCTGAATTCTTGGATGCCATTGACAAAAAAAATGCTGATATGAATCTTATCGGACAATTTGGTGTTGGATTTTACTCCGTGTTCCTAGTAGCCGATAAAGTGACTGTTACTTCAAAACATAATGACGAAGACAAACAATATGTTTGGGTATCTCAAGCAGTTAATGATTTCAGTATTTCCGAAGATCCTCGTGGTAATACGCTTGGACGCGGTACCCAAATTGTCTTGCATATTAAAGAAGACGCAAGTGAATTTTTGGAAGAAAAGACATTAAATGAACTTATTAAAAAATATTCAGAATTTATAAATTTCCCGATTTATCTCTGGTCGACTAAAGAAGAAGAAATTGAAATTGATTCTGAAGATGCCTCAAAAAGTAGTGATTCTATCGATGATGATTCGGATCTACAAATCGAAGATGCACTAGACGAGAAAGATGAAAAAAAGAAAGAAACCAAAACTATCAAAAAAGAGCAATGGTCATTAATGAATGATCAGAAACCCATCTGGGTTCGAGATCCAAAAGAGGTTACCGATAAAGAATACGAAGAATTTTACGCGTCATTCACCAAGGATGCTGGCGGTAAGCCATTGACCTGGATTCATTTCAAGGTAAGCATAATTTAAAAGTTACTTGTCGTTCTTGAAAAATAATATATTAACGTATACGCGATTCTTAGGCTGAAGGTGAAGTAGACTTTAGATCTATCATTTATATACCAAGCAAAGCTCCTCAAGATTTATTCAAAAAGGCCGAAGATTTTGTTAGAAACATTAAATTGTTTGTCAAGCGTGTATTCATCACCGACGAATTCGTTGACTTCATCCCGAAATATCTTCAATTTATTCGCGCTATTGTTGACGCTGATGATCTACCACTTAACGTGTCCCGAGAAACTCTTCAACAACACAAGACCCTTGTATTAATCAAAAAACGAATCATCAAAAAAATTCTCGACATGATTTCGACATTGACACAAGACGAAGAGAAATACACAACTTTCATAAAGGAATACGGCACAAGTTTGAAATTGGGTGCAATTGAAGATGACCGAAATCGTAAAAAGGTGGCAAAATTATTACGTTTTCCGAGTTCTTATAAACCAGGAAATCTTACTTCACTTGATGAATACATTAGTCGAATGAAAAAAGGCCAAACTAAAATATACGTTATGACTGGTGGCTCTATCGAAGAAATTAAACAATCACCATTCTTAGAGCGCCTTCAAGCCCGTGGATACGAAGTATTATATCTAGCGGAGCCAATTGACGAAATGCTCATTCAACATATGCCCGGTTACGATGGCAAGACATTCCAAAATGTTGCCAAGGGAGATTTGAAATTCGGTGATGAAACAGATGAATCCAAAGAGGAATTCGAAAAAACAAAATTGGAATTCGTTAGGTTACAAGATTGGATGCAAGCAACTCTTATCGAATTTGTTGAAAAAGGTAAAAAGTACCTTTTTTCTCGGAAAAATTCGCAACTTAGATTTATTAACTTCGTTCCTATTCTTAATATTTATAGTTGAGATTTCCAAGCGTCTCACATCTTCACCTTGTGCTATTGTCGCACAAGAATGGGGATGGACAGGAAATATGGAAAAAATTATGTCTTGTAAGATTTCACGTTTTTTCATTTCTATTTCAATATTCCGATATTTGATGCGTTTTTGCTCAATTTCCTAAATTTTATAGCGCAAACATTTAAACAAGAGGATGATGTCATGCAAAGTTTCTTCGCCAAACAGAAGAAAATTTTGGAAATCAACCCAAAACATCCATTAATTCTTACGCTTTTGAAGAAAGCAAATGATGAAGACTTCGACGACACAGCCAGAGAAGCAACCTTTATATTATACGAAACAGCATTGATTCGATCTGGATACACGTTGAAAGATAACCTTGGGTAATTTTCTATTTATATATTTATTTTTACATATCATATTTATTTTTAAGCTACATATTTTTTGCTTCACTATTTAGTTTCGCAACACGTGTCGAGAAAATTCTTCGGTCTAATTTAGGTGTCAATCTCGACGCAAAAGCAGTGATTAACGAAGCTCCAGCTCCCGAGCTTGACGAAGAAGCAAAGAAAGAGGCAGCGGAAAAATTGGCTAATAAGGAAGATACAGATCTATTTGAAGAACAAGATGATGAAATGATTAGAGATGAACTATAATGATAATTTATGTCTAGTATTATGAATTTACAGGTATAATTAAAGTTAATAAACTATCAGACTTAAAAGAGAGCTCCAATAAATAATGATAATTGTCAATTTTATTAATTTACCTCACCTGATCGATTGAAAATGAGAAAAGAAATTTGAACACGTCCAACCCAATGATTTTAATTCATCAATGAGTTATTCATTTTTTCACAAAGAATAAATAGATCATTGTGCTGTTCTTTTTTTGAAATGGTTCTTTTATTGCTAGTTATACTTACGTATGTTTATTCTTGTCATGTTGACTTTTCTTGCTTTTGAAATATCTGTTGCAATTTATTGTTGTAATTCTGTCTTGGTTAGTAATATCTGTTTTACTAGAAAATGGTAATTTTAAGCTAATAAATTAACAATTTTACACTTATCTGACAAAAATGTCTGGCTATTAGAAAATTTTATAATTATTTGATTTATTTTTAAATATAAAAATTTAAAAACTTTCTTTTAGTTATTATTTAATGACAAATTAAATAAAATTAATACTTGTATGGTAAACTATAATTAAGTTATTTAATATAAATTTTATTAAGTTAAATTATTTAATATAAATTTTATATCAAATTAATTAATTAAAAAGTTCAATTTTTAAAAATCTATTATTATAAAAGCTATTTTGTTTAACAAATATTAATTGTAAATATAAATTATTATATACTAATTTGTATGATGCAGGAATTCTTAAATTAATAATATATTTAAATTTTAAAGTATTACTATTTAATATAAAAACAAAATTTTCAAAATTTAATCAATAATTTTGTTATTTATAATATAATCAAATCTCTTTATATTCATACTTATTTATAGTCACACTTCTTTATAGTTATCTAAGTTTGCTTTTCCAAATCTTTAATTAATAAAAAAATCTCTATATATTTATATCTCCTTTATAATTACTATTATTATTAAATAATTTTATAATATATATTAATTAATTATTAGTAACTTTTTTTATATTGTTATTGTTTTTATAGAGTTCAAATTCTTTATATATTATTCACATATTTCTAATAACTAAAAGATATAAAACTAAGTTTTTATGATGAGAAAAACTAAAAATTATAATTAAAAATAAATAACATATATTTGTATTGTAATAATATCCAATAACTTTACTTTAACTTTACAACTCAATTAAATTCCAATATAATTTCAATACAAGTTAATATATCTTCAAAGTGACTTCTTATAAATCAATAACAAAAGTGATTTATTATAAGTAATCTATTTTTTAAGATCAAAAAATCAATACAAAAATATAATTTAAAATATTTTACAAGTTATATAGCAAAAGGTAATTCTACTTTAAGAATTTTATCTAAAGAGTATAAATGAATTTGAAAGTTAAGTTCAGTTACTAAACTAAATTTTAAGTAGAAAACCTAAAATTTAAGAAACTTATTTAATTTTATTTAATATATATATTATATTTATATATAATTTTTTAGCTATAATTTGATTATTATATTATTAATTTTTATTACTTTAATTATTTTAGTAACTAATATAATTAGAAATATTATCAAATATAAATGAAATAATTATTTCTTTTTATAGTTAAAATAATTTTTTTAGAATATTTTAAATATAAATAAATTGATATTTTTCTTATAATATCAATTTAAAAAATTGAAAATACAAAAATTTTGTAGTTAATTATGCAATTAGAAAGCTTTTACTATTTATTTATATATTGTTAAAAGACAAATTTCTGCTAAAAAAACATGAATAAAGATTAATTAAAATTTTAAAATAACTTTTATTCATGTTTTTTTAGCTAAAACTTATTTTTAATAATATATAAATAAATAATAAAAGCTTTTTAATTGCATAATTAATTACAAAATTTTTGTATTTTTAACTTTAATTATAAAAAGAAATAATTATTTTATTATATTTGATAATATTTCTAATTATAATATCATTAATTTTGTATATTTATTTGATTATAATTACTAATTGTATTGCTTTTATTGATCTTTATTATTTTTATTATTTTTTTGCTTAATTATTAATTTTATAAATTTGTTTGTTGAATACAAATAAAAAACTAATAATAAATAGCTCAAATTTTAATTAATAAAATTAAAACTAATTCTAAATTAATAAAATATAACAAAGTATTTATTCAATTAAATTTATAATATAAACTAATTAATAAATATTTATATTATAATAATATTAAGTAAATTTATTATAAAGTAATTTTGAGTTCAATTTTATTATATTAAATTTTAATTAATTTTTTTATATTAAAAGTTTTTTATATTAAGAATTACTTGTATTTAAAAAAATTAAAATATTATAACTAAAAATATAAAATATATTATTTATATTATATAAAGTAACTAACATAATTATAAAACTATACATGCAATTTTATTAATATATTTTTATTTTTATATTAAAACAAAAATCATAAGTTATATTTTAACATATATTTTTTCTGGATTTTTTAGAATTTTTTCTAATCAAGTTATTTTAATTGCAAAGTTATTACAAAAATTTTTTATAATTAAATATAAAATTAATTATAATCAAATCTCTATATAGTCATCATTTTTAAAAAAGTAAAATTTGATAACTATAGAGAGGATATAACTAAAGATAGTATTTCAATTAATTGTGACTTGCAGTATCCAATCAGAAAATTGCAATTAATTGTGATAGTCAATCAGAAAATTATAATCAAGTTACAATTAATTGTAATCCTATTTTTAGATATGAATATAAAGAAAATTTTTTATTATATTTATATATAAATAAGAAAATAAAACTGAATAACTATAAAGAGGTGTAACTATAAACAAGTGTAACTATAGAGATGTTTAATTATATAAAAAATTTTTATAATAACTTTGCAATTAGAACAACTTTGTCAAAAAAAATCTAAAAATCCAGAAAAAATATATATTAAAATATAATTTATGATCTTTGTTTTAATATAAAATAAAAAATATTTATTAATAAAATTAAAAACTTTTGCATAAGGCAAAAATTTTAATTTTATTATATTTTATTAATAAAATTATATATGTAATTCTATAATTTTGTTAGTCACTATATGTGTTAAAATTAGTTTTAATTAAAATAAATTAATATAATTATTTAATTAAATATAATTATCTAATTAAATACAATTATCTAATTGATTTTGAAAAAACTAAATTATTAATAATACTTTAAAATATATTAAAATCAAACTATATTAATTAAATTTATAAAATTTTTGAATAAATTTATTTTATTCAAAAAATTTTTTAAACAAAATAAAATTTTAAATGATTTATAAGTTAATCATTCTATTATCAATCATTTTAATTTTATTACATGTATAATTTGCATGACAAAATTCTTTTTATGTAAAAATGTTGATCAATCATATTTAATAAAGATTATTAAATATGATAACCAATTAAAAAGAACTTTTATCATGCTTTTTGAAGTGTAATTTAATAAATTATGCTATAAAATCATGTGTCTATTACATGTATTATTTCAACAATGATTAATTATATTGATAAGGATGCTGACATCTATTATTTAATATTATTTTGATAAAGATACCTCCTCACCCATCCCCAAATAAGATTTTCTAGCTAATCAATATGCTTAATTTTGTACTTTAAGATCAATAATAAATGTCACTGCCCTAATCAATAAACAATAATTTAACATTGTCCCTTTTTCCTATAAACATATATTACAAGTGACTTTCAATATAAGAAATTATCAATATATGAAGCTCTCAATATAAGAACCTCAATATAAGAACCTCTCGATACTCGATATATAAGAAAGTCATTGAGTCCAACAAAATCTTCCTTATATCGAAAAGTTCTTAATAACTTTTTTATAATGAGATTTTGATAAATTATTTGTATTACTTTTTCGCTTTATTAGCTTCTTCCTTGGCCCTACGCTCCGCAACTATATGACACCGTTCGATCAACATCAACATAGTCTTTGTCAACTCGACCAGATTTGTCATTCCCGGTTCTTCACCTAGTATATCCTCAACTGTCCAGTTTCCCAATTTACCAGCGCCAAGGTCCATATTGCTCTTAACTTTTTCGCGTATTGAATCATTGATAACCTGTAAATTAAAAAAGTTTTTCGTCATCATAATTAATTTCTGAATGATTAAATTCTTATTATTACCTCTACAGTGTAATAGGGTTTTCCACGACCAGTCCCTCCTTGCCATTTATTAGACTTCATTTGTTGCTTAATGGGGATTTCCTCGACACGAGTCACTTCCACAATGAAAGGATAATGTATTTTAAACTTGTTGACCTGTTTGAAAGAAATCGACGTAACTTTCAGGAATTCGGGGATGTTTTCAAAAGTGATCATTCTGCTTGCGGGATGGACTGAAGTTTTCTTCATGAAGGTGGTGAATGGTTTTACGTCGTGTCGGATAGATTTACGTGCCTTTAAAGACATTTGGAAGTCAAATTTCCTATTTTATATAACTAGTTACAATTAGTGAGAGAATTCAAACATTATATAAATACGTGCATTACCTGTCTAAAACGCTCCAATCAACATCAGCAAGATGCTTCCAACGCAGCGTAACTTTACCCAACGCAACGTAATTGCAATTAACAAACATAGTAACGGGAATATAGTCACCGTGTGGATTGTTGCGTGAATTCGCGTTGATTTCAAAGAACGCCGTCTTTGTTGAAGGTTCCACAGATAAGTTTTCATAAAGCAATTGTATCAAGCGTGAATCTTCTGTTACCCTATGATACATAATAATATAAATATAATACATAAGCGTAATAAATAGAAAGACGAAGGATCTGACTTACGAATCGGTGAATGCTGGTAATACACCTAATTCCCTAACTAAGATATCCTTTAGATCTGTAAATTCCCATAACTCTGGACTGATTTGAGGCGTCACTTTCGAGAAGACCACTTTGCCGACGCTATATCCAGAATATGAATAAATGTATTATATAAATTTTACAATCATCATCACCGTACAACATACCTTCCATGAAATCGAATTTCTCCTTTATGTGACCGCGCATAATCGAATCTTTATAAAACAAAAAATTATAAGAGACAGAAATTAAAAAAAAAACACGTCTCTTCATTCAAACAATAAATACTTACGCCTCAGTAAATACTTTTTTCATTTGTTCAAAATTATAGTTGCGCACCCTAAACAAAAAACTAACAGTTAAACCAATGATAATAACAAAATAATCAATTCACAATCTTAATCATCACCTTTTTCCAAAGGTAATTTGTTGATAATCAAAAGGTCCACTAGTATCTGGACTCTTTTCCATGACAATTTTCTTAATCTTAGGTTTTAATTCGGTTTCCTCGTTCGACTTCTTTTCCACCTCGTTTTCCACCAGAACTCTTGTATTACTGCTAGGAGAAATAATATTTTCAACAATGTTTTTGTTGTTGCTGTTGGCATTATTTAACGCTTCTTGAGTATGTTCATATTTCATTTTAGCGATTCTTGCTTTCTTTGCTTCTTTACGCGCTTGTTTTTCTTCCTCTGTCTTTAGCGGTCGATTATTGGGTTCATTTGATCTTGATGATTGTTGTATTTCTTCGCGATCTTGTAATTGTGAGAAATTTGGATGTTTGAAATCGTCATTTACAGAGTTTTGTTGAGTGTTTGATGGTCTTTCCAGCGACTGTTCCCTATAAGAAATAGGACGTTGAGTATTATTAGGTGGAACCGTTTTATTAGCCAAGAGATCTGGGAAGTTAGAGCTTGAAAATTCAGGTGCTGAACTGGTTCCGGTTTTTACTTGTGTTTGCTGTTCCTTTTTAACTGGACTCTGAGGCATAGCATTCTTTATTCATTTTGTTGTTTATTAATATTCTTATTATTAGAGAAATAGTAAATCGCACATAAATAATTCAAATTATTTATCTACCTTTATATTGGACTGCACAGACGATTTCGAAATCGCCGGGACTTTATTTTGAGGAAGAACTCTAATATCAAGCTCATTCGGCAATTCATTATATTCACCTGCTGCATTTTTTCGTACCGCTATCAGAATATATGGTTCCTTTACTTTGACCGCGCCAAATTTGTCTTTAAAGTACGCGTGTTGTTTTAGTGGATAAAAGAGTAACTTGAAATCCACATTTTGGTTTGGGTAATGAACGAGTGGGATTGTTTGTGTTTTGAATAAAGGACGTAACTATTTAATATATTAGAAATTAGAAAAAAAGGTGTCAGTTTAGAATTAAAAATGGGAGTAAGATTGTATTTTTTACGCACGTAAATCATCTGAAGTGTATAAAGTCGGTTCATGGCTTCTTCTATATCCTTAATTCTCGCTCCATTAACCATAATTTTCTGCAAGAACAAAACAAATAATTATAATTGAACAATGACAATGTAATACACAATAACTAACTCAAAATAAAAATTTAAAATTTAAAATTACCCTCTGATCAAGAATAACATCCCCCACCACCCCACAATCCTTACATATCTCCCGCCAATAATCCGAATTCTGATTCGCCTCATTCTTTACCCCCAAAAAATCATGTATATCGGTAACACGATCATCGATAAAAAATGATTTCTCTAGTTCTTCAGTGTCTTCCTCAAATTGGCATTTTTCGAATTCGGCTTCGTTTAATGGGCGGAGGTTCATAGGTGGGATTTCTTCGAGGATGTCGATTCGTTTTCGAAGTGGTGGAATCATGGAGATTTGTTTTACGGATGGGCCCTAGATTTTTTGTTAAATTTAGATTTATATAATGATAAAATATGGGTGAATTTATTACTATTGATTTAAGGTAATGAATGTATAGTCTTTTGATTATTACTTGGTCGAGCAGTATCCTTTGTACTTCCTTGCGTCTAAACAAATAATAAAAGTACCAATTAAAAATCAATATCTGCTTTTTTAAAAAAACGCAGTCTTTTTTTCGCGATTTACAAAAATTTTCTTACGCTTCATCAAGCTTATCATGGACCATTCCTCTCAACTCAAAGGTCTACATCCAATCATTTTAATGATCCAAATAAAAAAATAGTCACGTCATTATCGTCACGTTATTTCGCCAAAAAAAACCAATTCAATTAATAAAATTACCTGCTTTTCCAACAAAAAACTGATTTTTACATTATATTTATCCTGGATCTCTCTAAAAATTTAATCGATTTGTTAATGTTTAATTGCACATACCAAAATATATATTAAAAATCAATTTCTCGAGTACTCTTACTAAATCTCGAAGACCACACCACTAATCACAATCACCATAAAAAAAAAACAAAACCTGAAGGATTCCGCAAACTCATAAATCTGCTCTTCATTCCATTCCCAAATAGTATGCAAAGTAAACACAACCTCTTCAGATCCAGTATAATATTTATTAGTGTAAGAAGTCGTAGTAGTAGTAGTAGTAGTAATAGTGGACGTAACAGAAGAGCGACGCGAATTGTGATCGAGAGGCTGTTCAAAATCCTCCATAATTTATCACCTCTCAAAAAAATATTCGATAGCTAAAAATAGTTAGCTAAAAAGTCCTTTTAGAAAATCAATTATTTTACACGTATCGGTATTAAGATTATAACGATATTAAAAATACATGAATACATGTATTAATTATAAACAAAAAAAAAACATGTCTAATTTGCAAAAAAATGACTTCATAAGAATATTTTAATAAAATTTGTCAGATAACAAGCATCAAGTATTTACAATATATATAAAAACATGATATATGTGAATATGGAATCAATTCAAATTAGAATAGGAAATTGATGAAAATGATTAGAGTTAGAGTAAGGATAAGAATTAGTGCTAGTGATAAAATTATTAATATTACTTTATTTTTATTTTTATATCTTTGTTCTCAATTCTTCTAATGGAATCAATTAATTTATTAGGATTTTAATTTCCAAAAGAAAATTATTCATAAGATATATTCTATTTTTTCACTAATTCCTTTGAAAAATTTATCAACTTCAAATCATTATAAATCAAGTTGTCAATTTGTCAAACAATTTGATTGTCTAACTTGTTTTAAATTCTTTCTGTACTAAGAATGGATGCATAATAAATTGCAAAACAACAAATATTTGTTGACTTGATAGGTTTTATAGAATAAATTTGTCAAATATAACATGTATAATTGTATATTTAAAGAATTTTTATATAACTATTTTTAATATGAAGGTAAAATATTTTTATTATTCCAATGGAAATAACATAATTATATTATTTTCACTTAGCTTAGATTATGACGTACAAATTACAAAATTCAAGTCATTCGGGTGATGGATCGATTATAAAACTCAAGTCTTTCAAGTGATAGGTCAATCACAAAATTCAAGTTTATCTTGAGTGATGTTGTTACAAATCAAATTTTATAATTCTATAACTTTATAATTTCATAATGTCATAATTTCTTAATGCTTTAAAAACATTCTCAACATTTCATGAATACCATTCTTTACATATCTATTAAACTTAACTAAAATATCTTATCTATTATCTATATTATAGTTATCATATTTATCATATATATTATCTTTACTATAATTATATTAAATGTAACTAGAGATGGCGCAGCAAGTACGTGATGCTTATTTGTCACCCATTGCAACACATTGCAACTCCAAAATTTTATAAGCTGCAACTAGTTGCAACTAGGTGATGCTT